ACTGTTGTACACATGACTTCCCAGTGGTTTCGATTTTTACTACCAAATTTTCCGAATGAAACTGAATGGAAGCTCAGAAACGAAATCAGTCCTCCAAGTATGAGGAACAGTGGTATTCATTTGCATCTCTTGGCTTTTGACTCAAGTTGAAATACTAGAAATCACAAAACTTAGCATTTGACTCTGATTCGACGTTTTGCCGCATTCCCACTACGGCTTTATTCCGTCTTATGAGTAGACAGGAGTAAGCACATCGACAGGAATAAATATTACTTATCTCCCTTTTTGAATTGCAATCGTTAATATTCTTTTATTTTCGTTTACTAAATTCATCTCACTTTGGCTGATCATTTCTTGCTTCCGTATTGTATCAAGCGTTATTTTTGTATTGAAGTAATGAATTGGGTTTTTTTCGTCTGCCCTATGAAGATGATTATGAAATTCTTTGAAGACCGTATAAAATTATATTTATATTTTATGCCAATAATGAGAGGAAGCTAATTAGTCACAAACTTATTCAAATTATAGGTTTTCCGTATGATCTAAGCGTACTTCGTATCTATACAAGTTTGCTTGTTCCTTCAAGCAGTACTAAAATTAAATCTGGATCTATCGACCTAGTTAATCATGTCAAAGAATTTATAAATCGTGTTCCATACCTCGCTGAACCACTGACTGAATCATTATTAAAAAACTTGTCTCCACGAAATGCGTCATTATACCCACAGCTTACCAGTAATATCGAGAAGAAATTATACATGCAGGTTGTTTTAAATAAACCACGAACGGTCATGACTGTCAATTCAAAAATAACCTCATCATCTACCAGTTTAACTGAGAGGAATAATATCTTCTCAGGAGTCTACTTGGTATCAGGAACACAAGGTTATGTTGATCAAGGTGAGTCTAAAATAATTTTTTTAACTCCATAATTCCTTTGCAAAAATATGTTTATTTTTTAAATTAACCTTTTACCATCAAATATTTATGATTTCAGTAAACATAATACACCTATTGAGACAAAATAGGGAAGGTTGGTTCAGAGAAGATTTCTCTTTTCGGCAAATTCATTTTCACAGTTGTACAATCGCAAATATATATACTCATTTTTCAGGATGATAATAATTACAATAATACCGATAATGAACTTCTTTTAAATATGGTAACAGGGAGGTCGAATAAACAAATGTATTTAAAAAATATTTTCCTAGTCAGGGAAACTAATAATAGTATTATTGTTAAAGGCTCAAATATTCATCATTAAGATAAATAGGGAAATTATAATTGGGAACGGATGGCTCAGCATGATAAGATAAAATGCTGAGATCGCGATGAAATGTAATCAGGAGGATTATAGAAACAGAAATAAACCAGTTGGGGGCAGAAGGTCTGTGGAGAAGATGGAAGGGGAAGCAGATGTTTGTAGAGGAAAAAATATGAAGAAGAAAGAGAATTATGAAACATTAAAACGATGGCAGAAGAAGAGGTTGTACCACTCTCTTTTGCACATACAATTCTGGTTTTCCCAAATGTATAGTTATTGCTTCGTCAATATCAAGAAGATACAATATAATTGTCTTCGGCAGCTTCTACTGACCTTGCAGATGACTTTGAACACCAAGTCCATTCTGATTCAGTGTCCTGTGTTCAAAAGGTGTTCGATTATTGAGCTTCTTATTGAGCCGTTTCCGCCTCTCTTTAGCCACTCCGGGTCATGTTCTTGAATTCTTTTGTATAAAGTACGCATCGATTGATCTATATACCTAGCTCCATATGAGCAGGTAAATTGGTACCTCACTGTTACCATATTTAAAAGAAGTTCATTATCGGTATTATTGTAATTATTATCATCCTGAAAAATAAGTATATATATTTGCGATTGTACAACTGTGAAAATGAATTTGCCGGAGAGAGAAATCTTTTCTGAACCAACCTTTCTTATTTATGATTTGGACTGCAGTTCTTTCAAAATATATCGTTATAGTACTGTAGATCTGCGATTCTTCAGTATAAGTTGGATCGATAACCCACAGCGAAACCATCTTGTCTGACATCCAAGATTCCATGGTTATTCGGTGTACAGTTGGTACTTAAAATGGAGGGGTCCGTAAATACTGGAAATGTTTCAGATATGCTTGAAGATATACCGACGAAATTTTTACTCTTTATGATGTGTTTGAACACAGGTATATTTACCGACTTGAAAACCCACTCATATTCCTTGGTCCAAAACAATATTTTACGTTATTAGTTATTTGTTAATTACGTAACTGCTGGACTGTAGTCTTGAATTTCTCAAATGACAAAAGATGTATATTGGGAATAACTTTTCCACCTCTTGAATGAAAAACATATTACTTCGAAATTGTTTTGTGTCAACTCGTAGTATAACCCAAAAAGATTAAGTAATCATGTTCTCTTCGGTTTCTGCCTGACGAAATCTGATCACAGATGCGGAAACTCTGTGTGCGTCTTGTTACTTCGTACTACTTATATTGTTAGTGAAATGTCCATTTTGTATAATATTAGGTAAAACTACTGCTCAGAATTATATTTCGGTTTAATTCAAATTCTACAGAACTTAACCATTAAAAGTAGAAAATATGCTGAAGTTGAAAGTATTTAATCGCTTAATTCTTTCAGATATTACTAGCCTATATTGGGACATTTGGGTGATATGTGTTTCGAGTAGTAGAATATTGATGGCAAATTAGTTGTCGGGGTAACCTCATACCTTATTTTTATTATACTTCTTTACATTTAGCGATACTAATGGTTGGTGTTCGCAGCCACTTTTTATGTACCCTTTAAGTCGTAGTGTTTTCAGCTAACCTTTCCTGTGAATTCGCATAAAAATTATTTTTAGCATGATGCGAAAATATGCTTCCGTGTAAGTAATAAATCTTATACGGCTTTAATACAACTGAATTGTTAGATCGCTCCCATTTACTCCTAAGTTGCGAATGTACTGTTCCCACCTTTTCATATTCACATCCAACTGTATACTTTATAAATTCATTGTATTTCATGATGCCTGTATCTGATTTGTAAACAGCTTCTAACTTTTTTTTCTTCCAATTCATGAATAGATTTAGGTCTTGTTGTATGGCGTATTGAATATTCTCTGTGGCACGTAATTGGCAATGAGATTTATTTAGCTGAATTGGCACTTAACGATTTTCATAAATCTATTGCTTCATCTAAGGATAAATATGAAGCTCGTGTAATATTAAATACTACGTCATATGATTCTGAGTTACTTCAAACTCAAGCTGAATTTTATGCTCAATTTTATACTAGGTTAACACGATTGTTGGATCTCCTTGAGTTTATATCCGCTTGTTTCAAGGTAATTATTACTAATAATTGTGATATATGATTGATTTTATAAAGCGGAATAACTAAACATCCACATGCATTCTACGCATTGCAGGCTAATTAATTGAGGTTTCTCGATAACTTTATATTCATGTAGATCGGTATGAGTCAGACACTTATTTAAAACGATTATTTATCGAATGAATTTATTTATTTATTGACTGCTTCATATATGTATATGCACTCATTGCTTTATTTATAACCAAATACAAAACCATGATACCAAGTGAATCTATTTCATCCCAGTACAGATTCGTTGGCATTACCCACCCCACGACCGGCTGGGCATGGAATACGAAAAGTTCAGATCTAGCTCCAAGTGTTCTGCGCTTAGACCGTTAAGTTGGCTTCTTGTGGTTCATATTTTCAACTAGTCACTTCAATACTTATATATTTATATTTAGCGAGATTTTTAATATTGATTTATGTAAAACTAGAGTAAATAAATTATTATTTTGTATGCTTCTGTGATGTAATTAGTAAAATCTGTTCAGTTTTTTTGCTATGCCATTAAAAAATGAGGGTTTTCGACTTGATAAGGAAAATTAGTACTCTTAACAAGGTAATAGATGTATATCACACAACACAGTTTCTGTTTGAGATTTCGATTTTAGTGGTTCCAGAACATTTAGTAACTCTAAAATCAAAGTATCATTGCAGTTCAAAATAGTATCTATTATAGAGATTCTAATCGCGTTTAGAAGAATAAAATATTACGTGGCTGAAACACTTTGTACTTATGTAAATTATCTGGAATTAATTAACCCGAACAATTTATTTATTTATCTGTTTATTTATTTGAACGCAATTATTGTTACAAAGGAGCACTGAATTCATATGCGCCACACAAGTCACTTGATTTGTGTGTGGGCTGTGATAGTGCTCGAGTGCCCAAACCAAAGCAGGTGGTTTTCTTAGTGGGCCACTCCCAGAGCCTTCGACCTAATGGTCTGATCCACAAGGCAGTGGAACAAAGTAAGGAGATGCAGTCTCATGGTAGCCGGTGACCAATAATTGGTTCATACGCTATTTGTTCCCTCATGATCCTGGAGCCCATGTGCACCATAACTTAACAATCGCTTTGTTGTTAATACGTTCGGTTTTCAGCTAGTTGATCAAAGGTTCAAAACTTTTTCCCATCTACTTCAGTTTGAACATTTGGATAGTATCACTAATTCTAATGAAGTTTAACTCAAAGCAGATTACGTATTGACTGCACTTATGGAGTTATATAATACTCGAAAATTCCCATTGTTTTGGTTCTTACCCTGTTTTTCTTTTCTTTTCAAGTGTGATTTGTATATTTCTCAATGTTTAATATCAATTGAATATATTTGGATGATAATTTTACGTTATTTAAATATTATACCATCTGACCAAGTCAATTTAATTGTTCAGTATATCACTAATAACATATCATCATCGTCATTCATTAAAATACATCGAAATTTTTATGGAAAAATTAAATCTTCAAATGAAATAATAACAAATCGTAATTCAATTGATGAATTAATTATTCATTCATTATTACCTAATTTATTGTGTTTAATTGGACATTCGTTATTAAATTTACCTACATTAAGATCAAAGCAGTTAATTATGGAAAATATTAATCTATTGACTAGTGTATTAAATAATAGTCATAGTATTATACCACGTATGGTTATTAATCAGAATAGTCAAAACTCACAGTAAGTTATATTAACTTGTGTTCAATATTACTTGAGTTCTAGTTTATTTTAATGTTTAAAACTTGATTTTAATAACTTGATTATTCTACTAATTGAAGTTGGTAAATAGTAGTAGTCAGACTAACAAATATATTTATTTCAGTTTCATCATACTATGAATGTTTACACTGAGTTCATATGACTGATCGCTATTCTTTATCATATAATCTGGATTGGTTAAATTACTCTATAATGAAGTCACTATTAGTTTATGAGGTCCAAACAAATTTTGTCCCACCTACTTTGTTTATAGAATAACTGAACTGCACCATTAATATCTATTCTGAAATGTATGCATGAAGGAAAGCGTTTGAATATAGAAGTTACTGTGTTTTCCTGATAAGTCAACTTTTAGAAGTTGAATGGAGATTTAATCCATTGACTCATTTGTTGAAAGTTTGGCAGTTGTAACTTGACACTGGTTAAAATGTTCACTGAAAGTTAAGTGTGTTAATTGAAAATACTATGTAATTTTAAAATATGTAATTTCTACTATTAAGATTACTGAATGATGTCCATTTACCATACATAGTATGTATAAATATAAGTTTTAAATGATTGTGAGTCAATGAATCAGTAAACAAAGTGGAATTTTTCGCGAGTATCTATTAATCCAATCGATTCTAATGCCACATCACCACAATGATAGTACATATTAATAAGTCGAAAAATAATGGAGTAGATATAACAGTAATGTTAATTGTAGTTAGCCAAAACTTAATATATAGGATATATTTCCATAAGAACCTGTGAATTAAAGGATATTAGGAAAATATATTAATACATTTGTACCACTGCGACCGATTTCTCTCATTATATCAGTATTTAATAATCAATGTTTATTTTTATCATAACTAGTTTTGATTACGTTATTTATTAAATCCAATGTAGAACGCAGAATCGTACTCAATGATTTAAAGCTTACATCGTTATTCGATTTTGAGACATTTAAATGGTGTACTTAGTTTAAGTTCAAGTATACGGTTAACATTACGGATCAGTGTTTGTATAAACTAGCTCTAACTCATAAACCTTAACCATAATAACTCTGACGGTTAAGAACCCATAGAAATTTTGATGGTTTTTTTCTCTGAGCTGGATGGTTTAGTTGTGGAGCTTTCATCTTTCTTCTAGACGACATCAGCACAAACTTCAGAGAACAAAACTCCATCAAAATCATCCACCCGAGCTACAAATCACCATTTCAAAACCTATAGGAAGCTTAGTAAAGCTAACTATTCATGTAAAAATAACATATTCTTTGTAAATTCTCCGATTTCATATTTTAATTCATATGTTCATATTTACTGTTTTCTGACTATCTCAAATGGTTCAAAGTCTTAAAATCATTCTGAAATATAGTTTACCTTTACTATATTCCTATTAAGTAATTAGATATAAGTAATAAAAATTACAGATTCACAGAAATGTATATATATATTACTTATTCTGATTAGCGTTGTTTAGCAAGGTCGTTTTCTACGGGATGAGGATGCTAAGTCTCTCAATCTTCCTCTTTTACCCGAGCTTGGGATCGACAGTGGCCCTAAAAGAGTTACAAGCGGAGTTCACTTATCAAATATCACAAATATTACTCAAATTACAAATATTCATACAAATTATAACTTTATAAAAATGAATTATTTATTTACTTTATTGTTGTTATTATTCTTTCTTTTGTTTTTAATTACAGACTAACATTTGGACTTAATTCTTGTTATTTAATTAACACTATTCTTAATTATAATTCATCGGAACCAATTAATTTTTTAACTTTTCACCAAGTAACATCATTACATCATTATTCAACAAATGAATATCAATTACTTATTTCATATATTAATTTTATATCTGGATTATTTTTCTTTATTCGATGGGCATATTCTAATTCAGAATTTATTATTGAAAATATTCATATTGATATTATACCATTATATATTGAATGTTCTGAATTAATTCATGGATGTCTTGTGTTTATTATTCAATATCTTATGATAATGTGCTCACAAGTAGATTATTGTAATGAAAATTTCAATATTCATTCTATTAATAATGGGTTAATTCAAAAAAATCTTTTATTAAAAGTAGATTTTGATCAATTAGCTAATTTAGGTAAGTTTTAAATTTTGATATATATATATATATATATTCTTATTAATAAACAAAAAATAAAATAATTTTAATGGAGTTTTATTCTTTGAGGTAGATGGTTTGGTCGTAAAGTTTTCATCGTTCTTCTGAACGACATCAGCATCTTCTCAAAAATAAGATAGTAATCAATACTTTATTATTATATACAATATTTATGATTATATTGAAAATTTTCATACTGTGTTATGTACCATTTTAATATGATTTTATTGGTATTGTATTTTTTATTTATCATCGGGTAATTAAACATCAACAAATATTCAATTCATTCTATATTCGGTCTTGATAATATTGAAATTGAATTTAGTTTGATAATTATTTATTAATAGTTGAATTCATAAGTCGGTGTAAGCTAGACCACCATTGAAATTCAAGAGTCAATTAGTGTTGTTGACCTCTCGTTTATAGTAACAATGTATCTACTAGTTATTTTTTGCTCAAAAACACACATCGATTTCTGTTGATGCAAACTACCCAACTATCAAGTTTTTGGTAAAGCGTTAAAGATCCCTGAAAATGACTTTTTAGGTGGATAGTAAAGGATTGAAAACACTTCCTGGATATCATGATTACATGACCTTAGTGAATTGGAGAGCTCATGACCTACAAAACTAATTTGTGCCATCGCACATGGTATGTAATAATGCTTATTTCTATGTTAATATTCCGTACAAACTGAGTTTATACGTTTCTCATCCTCTCATGATCGTTGAGCCCATGTACACCACTGATTTTCAATAAGAGTTTTTCCACACACCCCTGAGTGAACCCCGTGTATAAACCATCCTTGTTTCAGCGCCTTACATTCGGCTTTATTAAGCAAAGACCCTTTTCCATCTCTTACAAAAGTTGCATTTTGATATGTGATCTGTTTTATTACCCCAACACTTGATGAACTCTGTTCAATAATTCAAAATCTAATCAGTTGTTTGTCAATTCTAAGAACCGTGATATACAGAAGCAAATACTGTAAAAGTTTTTCTTCTTTGTTCATATATTGATAAACAATAAGCCTAAATGGCGTGTCAAGAATAAACTTGATATATAAGTTAAAGCAACATTATCTGAATATATATCTGTATATTGTTGTATCTGGGGATTAAATTATGGATAACTTCTGGGAACTATTTATGGATTGTTATTATATATGTATTCTATTAAGTAACTAGATCATATATATTTATATTCCTTTATCATACGCTTTTATTTGACTTATTGACTACTATTATACGATTTACTATTTCCAAGTTATTCCCAATCTATTAGTTACAGTCTCTCACAGTCACATCCACTTTTTGGCTTGATCTTGTATGATAGTTATTTTTTATTTTATGGTATAATGGGGTTTAGTTTGCTTGTATATAAACAAAGTATGTCTGGAATATATGATTCATCTAGGGGAAGCTGATATTGATGTTCTGGCCTCGACAGTCAGGGCTAAACGAGAGGGACCTATAAAGACTGCTCGTACCGGTCCACGCATAATCGGTTTGATACTGTGTTAATATTGTATAAGTCGTGTTCTAATTGGCGACTTAACCACGTGATAATTAACCAGGCCACAAGACATAACATATATAACTTTGAATAAAATGTTCGATTTTTGAAAAGACTAGCTGTTATATGTTACGTCTGAGGAGAATACGATATCACTAAATACCAACGAACGGAGCAAAAGTCAGCAACACAAGAACAGGACAAGCTAAACTATTCCACTGTGCACCAACCCTGCTAACTACTAGAAGGAGAAGACCAGATTCAGTCGAGGAAAATATATATTCCACAAGCAGCCCGGATGCACGAACGAACAAGCACATAACTCATGCGTATATATACACTACAAAAATGTCCTTGGAAATCGTCACAAATTAACGTATTGAAAGAGGGAACGAACCAATAACATTTAAGGTCCTTCCAAGTGGGAAATACAAACTAGGTAAAAGTAGGTGCTTTTGGTGCGAAAATGACAAATTCGAATTTCAAAAGTCAAATCACAAAAATGAGACTTTTATCAAGTGATTTCTGGGGATCTAGAATCCCCAACATATGTCAAAGTACTAAATTCCTACTTTTTTTAAACATTTCTCTAACCAAATTACAAATTACTTAAATAATTTTTATTTTTATTTTTAATTAGCCGAACATTGTTTCATGTTATTAACCGATGTATTAACAACTCGTACATCGGAACAAGATATACAAATTTTACGAATGATTTTAAAACAACTTAAACAAGAATCTTCATCATCTTCAACATCATTGTTTCATTTATTTCCTAAATTCATATCTGAAGAACATCATTGGCCTATAACTTATCAATGTATCACATTACATTTATTACTCAATGATACACGTTCATTAAATGCTTTAATAGCATTCTCATCAATTCACCAAAGTATTTTATTGAGACAAACAGAAACCATTGAATACGGGTAAGTGTTTATTTTAAAAAGTGTTCTTTTAGTTAGCTCATTCACTAAGTACTTGGATATAAGCTGCTCTCTTAATGTAAAGGCTACGTATACTACCCGGTTGCTAAATGAAGGTATATAGAACGGGGTTTTGTACGTGGGACTTATTAGCTAAAATTTGAACCCTATTAACACTGAGCCATCAATAGAAATGAGTTGTTTTTAGAATTACAAATTTCCTGTTACACTATATAATAATGATTGGTTTTTATATTCCTTAATAACTGCACAAAAAAAATTCTATTTAAAATCAAATATAACCATTAACTCCATTTACCATGATTTCGTAGTGTATGGTTCTCCACTAATTCCCAATTGTGCTTATTGTAAAAGTTGTTTCTTAGGTTTGATCAAGATGATACATGTTCGAGGTTGTTAAAGTGAAAAAAACAAAATGCATACGGATAGACGAAGTGGAGTGATATAACGTGAGTGAATGATCATACTCCTTACATGGTCAAATTATTGGCATAAGCTATTAAACAAACTGATATCAATAGACATAACTACCCAGCAAAATAAGTCTTTTTAGATCAATATAACATTGTTAGATGTCATATGGTACTGTATTATATTATTGTTTGTGGTTTAGTCATTCGCTTGATTATTAGGTTTTTTACCCGTTGTATCAGTAATTGTAGTTATCACAAATTTAATAATAACTAGAATTACTGATACAATGAGTAAGTTCAAGGCTAGCTGTCAACTCACCACAATGTATATATGAGTACTGGTTGCATTTACAAAACGTCATGAAAATAGTTTGTATCAGTAATGCAAAATAATGAAGTCAGTGTTCAGTACCAACATGATTTTATTTACTGTTGCCAGACAAAGAGAACAATATAGAATGTGATATAGATATTTCTCTATACAAAGTTACATTTCATTACTAGAAAGAGGGAATATTAACTAAAACAAAGATGAAAGGATCAAAGAAATACGTGAAAATAGGGAGTTAAAAGGACGAAATAATCTTCTGTTTATTTTCTTACGCTACTTTGACAGTGGATCGCTGACTTAGTTGAATGAATTTATTGTTAGAATCTACAAATCTTTTAGTCTAACTGAAAATCGCTCACTCAATAATATCCTATTCGAAGACAGTTTTCTGAAACTAATGTACGGTAAAAATTTTGAAGATTAGCAATGCGCTTTACATTATCCGCAATACCAAATACAAAGGATAATTGTATATGAAGCGTAAGTGTATCTAAGTTAAAATCATCGACAGAAGATTTAACCCTAGCGATCCAAAGCTGACACACTGGAAAGTTTGAAGTTTTTGTGTTTTGTCCGTGAAAGAAGCCTTCATACTCTAACAACGCTAAACTTTATAGAAGTTAAACAGAATACTTCTCTCGTATATACTACTTTACTCACAATCTTTTATCTTTCGAAATTTTACAAACATTTACAGTTTAATAACACGAAGCGTTCACCATGCTGAACTTATCACCATTTATGTGGGTATATTTTTTGATTCACAATATAAAATTCAGAGATTGTATTTGTACGGTCTCATTCAAATGTAAGTAATTTCGGTAAAACACTTCTACAGAACAATCAAGAAATACATTTTCTTAGACTAGATTTTTAGCTTCAGGCAATGGGTTTATCGGTCTGTCTTAACCTAATTCAATATAATATCCTGTCATTCTTATACTCGAGTATTAAAGGTTCTCTGTTGATTCATTGTTCTACTCAAGGGATTTGTGAAGTCAGTTTATTTGATGAAGGATATATAAATGCATATTTATGACTAACAAAATTTTCTGACGAAGTTTTTTGTCATAGTCCTTTAGAATAACGTAACATCGAAAATACATGATAATATTTTAATGATAAGGATCAAAATAATTTTGCAAGATTTCTAAACACTGAATACAGTCCGGTAAGACACTGAAAAGAAATGTGAAGGAATAATGGAACTCAACATGTAAAATAAGAGAAGAGATTCGATGCATCATAGCAGTTTTAACCGATTCTGATTCATGTCATCAAACATTTATGATCCCAACTAGGTCGTACGCCTTACTGACATGGCTCAGTCTAACAATCAGTGACTTCATGAACTGATCCCACGCTTTAGTTTAACTTCTTTTCGCTTCCAGTTTACTACTGCACCAGCTATTATTATCCGTCAAAGTTGATGCGGTTAGGTTTATACAACATATAATGAATGAGAACTTGTTCTGGAATATCTTTTAAAAGTTAATAAAAGTTTGAAAGCTTTGAAATTTAAACCTCGCTGTATGCATATTAACATACATGTACCAGGAATATATACTTCTAGATTATACGTTAAAATCTCATTTTACATTTCATAATGTCACAGTAAATATTTTCTGTATACTAAATATTTTCAATAAACCTATTGCATTGGTATTTTATTGTTGCTTCCAATTACATAAATACTTGTGGTTAATTTTTCTTTTTGCTATAATTTAAACGAATTTACATTAGAAAACTTTTTTTGTTACTATTCTAGTTTCCCTATGTCAGTCTACTTGAATAATTGTGATATTTCAAGGAAAACAATTCTAGTGGATAATAGTAGTTCACCAACTGTAAGAGCTGTTTGGTTATCGCTTACATTAGTTCATCATTTACTTAACTTAGAAAATAAATTAATGATTGAACCAGAGAATTCGAATTCAACACCTCCTCTATTGACCAGTTTGCAGTGTTATTCTAATTCATTCACTGGGGATCGTTACATCACCACCTTATTCTCTTATCTTCGGTATTCGTTTAGTGTTGGAATTTCTCGTTTGGTTGTTGCATTACTAAAGTGGATAACACAGGTTAGTTATAAATGCTTAATGTATTGTTGATTCATATTTGATTCAGCTTCGATATTTTTGCTTTATTTTATCACTATCATTAACTGTACTAATGATTCAACTCACTTTCTTATACTATTACATAGTATTCATCTGTTGATATTACAAATTATTTGGGCAATGAGTCAAATCAAATACGTGCATCTTGCCTGAAGAGATTAGTGTCCACTACAGAAGATCAATTGGTACGTGTTGGATTGTATGATTTATTATCAGAGACAGTATTAAATAGTGAAAAATACGGACCTATTAGTTCACGATTGCCAGTTGGGCTATTGCGTTTACTTTTAACAGATGGAACTATTATAGGTTCAGATATGGAGTTGAATAGAACGATGGCTACTAAATCCAAAGAAATTTCAAATTCTGATTGTTTGGATTGTGTAATAGATACACTTAAGGAACTTCAGGTATAATTGTATTTTATTTGACTGGTTTTTTCGTAAATGTTCAGTAATCATTATTTTTTTATAGTTGCACTATGCTGTGTATCACGTGTTATTTGAATGATTATTACACAGCAGTTGAAAACTCTAAAATTTACACATTTGAAATAATTTAATAAATATGTTATTCTAGATTTATATTAGTAAATCTACCGAATTAGTTATTTTGTGAATTACGAAACTGTCTGCTAACTTATAAGGATTGTTGATGTCTGTTTGATCAGTAGGATCTTTGATGATTCCAGGCAACAGAGAAATGCAATGTATTCTCATACTTCGACTGTTTCCGATTTTCCTGACAACATCATCTCTCTGTTCCTTTGAAGATCGTGCACATACCTATCAGAATGGCGATAAATGTCATAAGAAAGGGAGAGGTATTTGAGTGCGTGTCATTGCGTGTGATGGCATTATGTAGATTATTTATGGAGCTTTTTCATCTGTGGTGATTCACATTTTTAAAATCTGTTTGGAATGTGATACAATACTTCATTTCGATCAACTTTATACTTGTACTCAGATTGCACATTATGAACAAAAAGCCAAAAGCTTTGGTTCAACCAAGATATGCAACCTAGTACTGTTTAGAACGTTTTGTTGTACCTATTAAACTACTTGCGAGTAGCCAATACGTTTCGATAAATTAAAAGCCACTTTCGTATTTGCTCATGATGTCTTCTGCCAGTTTTTTCTTAAACATTTTTGTTTAATTTTATCGTTAAATTTACGTAAGTTCACTCTATAATCTCACTGGTATCCTATTACTAGCTGTCGAATAAAATTGCTTGCTCTCTTTATGCACAGAATCGCATATTAAAATGAGAGTTCAATTTCTGTCATTAGAAAACGGGAATAATATTCAAAACAAAAAATATTCTTAGCGTATTGAATTCCACATCTCCATTTCTCCTCAGTCTCATGTAGATAGTTTATCTACACAGAAATTTCAGCACAATACTATCGTATAGCTGTTTGTATGCTGTACATATACATTACAGGGTTTGTAAAATACTATGTTTAATTGGTTTTCTAGACTATTTTAATCTACTCTCTGGTTACTCACTTAAGAAAATTGTTGCTTATCATTCGGAGTGAATTATAGATCCCAACTTATTAAATGTTACTTATTATGAATATATTATAATAACCTTATATATATGTTGTTCTAACTTGAATTATGTACTGAGCTAATCGTGAGCCTATTACGCAACGACTCATATTTGATTAGATATTCTTATAGTTTGTTTAATTCTTAGAGTCTGCACGTATTTATTCTCTAAAGATGTCATATAAAATCAACCAATTTTTAAGAGATGTATTCAAAAGATGTCTTGATTTACTTACATTTCAGCTGCAGGCTATAATTAAAAATAATGTTCACCAAATTACTTAATTCAAAATTTAAACTCCTAAGAAAATATCTCGCTTCAAGATAGTTTTTGATAAGAAGACATGAAAGTTGCTTTGAATTAAAAAATCCTTGTCATCACTCAGTTTAGCTACCTTACAAAGATCTTTAGAAACTAGCGAAAGGAATTCCTAATGGCTACCACTAAGGACTTTTTATTGTGTACACAAAAAGAACCTTAGAAAGGACTTTTGTTAAACAGCTTATCAACCCATTGATAATAAAAGCTTAAGGATAACTAGAATACGTTATGTAAATCTCTATACTTAAAATGTAAAAACTTTAATTTTATTCTTCTTTTCCTTACTAGATTAAATCTTTCCAGAAACAGTTTGACGATAATGAAAATACTAATAATAATCAGTTATCAACTGTATTGTTTTGGAGTGTGACGAAATTTATCTCATCTCTTTATCTCCTAAATATTCAACCATGCATTGTAAATTTAAAACAAAGGTAGGTTCAAGAGGACTTTGTATTATTTGTCACTTTTTAATTAGTCCAACCAAATAAAAATGTACTGTTTCATCATTTGAAGTCTATACTTAAAGATTTATAACTTTTCACTTGTGGGTTGTGATACAAACAATTGCTTCTTAACTGTTGACTTTTGGGTTCGCGTTTTACTTTTACATGGAGTTGTGCATTTGATTAGTATCACTGGGTTACATATAAAATGTATGTCCCAGAGTTAAGTACATAAACCTGAGGACTATGTCGGGGATTTTGAAAGAAAAGCCTTTGATCTATATAATTGTAGTAAATCCCAACCTACATAGAGTTTGAATTTTTGTAATCTATTACTTAGCGATACATTTATAACTTTACATTAATATATTCATTACATCATTGTTAGCCGTTATTTGTTGTTGTTACTGTAAATGATTGTTTATGTATAACCTAGTTCGTTATATTGTATTTTCTTTCCTAGGGAATACTGGATTCACATCCATTCTCTTGTTATTCTTGAATTACTTTTTATTTATCCCTTTCGAGTGATTGTAGAGTATACTAAAAAAATGCAATAAAAAGAACTCCTAACTTCATTTTAAAAAATTAACAGTCATGTGCATATATTTTCCTCAATTTTAATCAGTTTTCTGTGTTCTTGATTCTTTTTCAGGTGTGACTTTTGGAAAACTCTGACTGATCCTTTTTTCACTTTTTTAAGATTACAAGAATCCGAAAAGGTATGTGATTTAAACAATTGATATATATGTGCTACATATAAGTTACCCGATACAAACTTCTCACTGGGTTGTTCCGGCTTATTGTTTTTCAAGCAAACGTTTTTGTTATTAATAGATTGGATATTTGTATCCCAACAGTGAGATCTATTGAAGTACGTTCATAAACTTGTCATTCATGTTTTTAGATGCAAGCATTGGTAAAGCAGGATTGGGCATGGGGTAAGCATCCTCGTCCCGTAGAAAACAATTTTCCTAGAAGAACTAGAATAAACTATTTATACCATTAAACTCTGCCCTGCGAGTTGAAAGATCATCTTTCAGAAGAATTAGGTTGCCTCGTGGTGAAAGCCAAGATTTGGAAGCACGAGGCTGATTCCTCGTATAACAATCAGAGAAACAATTATTATAGCCGCATGGAATATCTGGACAATGTGGTAGATCGGTAGGACCGATCAAATTGCTGCACAAACGAGGAGATACAAGTTGGTGACTTTCAGAATTAGTGAAACACATTGGAACCAAGCTGGACAGAAAAGGTTAGATTTGCGAGGAGTGCTGCTGTACTCGCGTTACGAAGAAGAAAATGCTCCGCACACTCAGGGAGTTTTTCTGATGCAGTTCAAACAAGCACTTGTTGGTGAAGCTCTGAAAGGTGTAGAACTTTCACGTAGCTGGACAGCATCATCGATGAATAAGGAGGACCTGATGCAAATGTAATGACGAAGATTGGCCAATTAAGGACAGCATTCCTACAGTTGAAGAATATATGGAACTCAAAACAACTGTCAACCAATATCAAAGTCAGAATCTTCAGTACGAATGTCAAGATAGTTCTACTATGCAGAGTTGAAACTGGGAGAACTACTACAACCATAATCAAAAAGGTACAAGTATTCACGAAGAATTGTCTACACAATATATTTAATTTTCTTTGATCGGATACCATCAACAACAGCATACTGTGTGGGAGAACAAATCAGCTTCCAACTGAGGAAGAAATTAGGGAAAGACGCTGTAGGTTTATATAATATACATTACAGAGGTCATCTGACTGCACAAGGCAAGCTCTAACTTGTAATCTCGAAGGCAAATGAAAAGGAGGCAGAAGTAAGAACACACTGCTTTGGGGATTGAGGGCGAACATCAAATGAATAAATAGCGACTGGAAACAACTACGCACAGTGAGTCACACCCGTGACCATAATGCATATTGATCATTAGTATTCAATCAGATGTAAAGTCACACACTAACATGATTTTGGTCGCTACTTAATTGTAAATATCTCAGTCCTAAAGCAGCTCTGTCGCGACCTGAACAGCTCGGTGGACACATCTCAATCTGTAAGACTAGGTGACCTGGCAGCCTAAGTTTGTTCAAGATTTTAGGTACGTCTTGGTGACAAGTGTCAATCAGTAAAAAACCAAGATCCAAGTTTTTCTGTTTAATGACTAATAGTTCTCCTGCCGTATTCACGTTTTGAATCCCTCAGTTGAATATCAGTTACGTGGTTTGTAAAGTTTGATTTTTTTTCGAATATATTTGAAGAATTCTCTGGGGATTCTGTGTGAACTGTTATACATATTTATTTGTTCTTAATGGTTTTCATGAACGTCCTATTTATATAGGAACCATTATCAGATATTGAAAATGAACTCTGTGGAGATGTTGTCAGTATTTTAGCGTTAGAACTCTACAATAAGACAAGGTTAGTTGAGTGTGTATAAAATTTTACTTAATCTAGATTTTCTGTAGGTGTATTTGTGTAGGTCTCATATATATAGTTTTTTAGTTGCATACGTAAATACATGAGAACCTAACGAAATAAAGTGAATTCATATCATTCTGCACCAATCTTCGTTCTCGCTCTCTTTAAGATAATAAAGGGAACTATTTATATGGAACTTACGTAGTTGTTTTGATCTATAAAGTTATTATTATAACTTGTAATATTTGGATTGTTTTTAGAAGTGGAATTGACGAAGCGCGTTTCGTCTCATTTTAGTAGGTAATGCATGAGTGTATGAATCGCTAGATAACTGGTTAGAGTCTCAGTGTGAATATCAACATTGAGACGCGTGCTCACAGGTTCAATGAGCCGCAGTAGAGACGAAAGTCGCGTCGTAGACAATATTGTCAATTTAAGCAGAATTTATCAAAACTATCTACTCAGGGTTCACATATGGCAACAAAGACTGATTAAACCATTTCTAACTATCACTAATGGATAAAGTTATTTCCTATTGTTTCAATGACCTTATTTCGCATTAACTATGTCAAGTTTACCAGCTTCTCATACCTATGACTGTCCACACTGTTTCTAATCTACAGTTCAGTACACTGGTATATCAACGACCGTTGACTTTCTAATGGAATAATAAATAAATATCTGAATTAGGATCCTCACCTGTTGTGTATACTTTAATTTTCATGTTTTGTTTAATCGTGTTTTATTGTATATGTAATTAAAACAGCTTTCTTTGTTATATTTAGTGAGAAATTTATTATATCTGACTGTCTATAAACATAACGCCATACACCAATGTTCATTATTAAAGTCCCACAGGAGTTTAGCAACAGTATGTTGTTAAATTACTTAAATATGCCTTCAGACAAAGTTACTCAAACTTTTTATTCTTGTAATATATAAATAAATTCAATCTGTGCATATCTGCAAAATAAATAAGAGGAATTGGGTTTTTTGCATTAAATTCTAATCACTCACATGCAGTCCGATTGTACAAAGACGTATCTTTGTTGACAATAGAATTTATCGTCATTGTATTATGTATAATTCAAGGCAGTTGAGATATTGAATGAAATTCCTCTTGGGATGCTACCGTACAATTCCCAACTAGAGATTCTTACAGGCTTTTTAAATCGATGTAAATTTGAAGGAACAATATTCAGTCTGGAATTTCATTGAACCCAACAATAGTGATTGATTTTAATGTAATACTTAAATAGAGTTACAATTAGATAATGTCTAAATAGATTGTACAACGCATACATTTTCAAATTAATTTTTAAGTAGTACTGTTATGAACATTTGTCATTTGTTTTTTCCTATATTTTCGGTTTGTGTTTCAGCTATACAACAAACGATGAGAGTTTTAAATCGTTTACATCAGTTATGGATTATTTTGTGAAGAATAATTTGTATAATTTATGGTTTAAGGTAAATTTATTTTTACTTATTGTGTGACGTCGACTTCCTTTCAGTATATGTACATAGCAAAGTAGCATGTAGTCTTTGAGTTAGACTGATTCCTATTTTTATTCATTTACTAAAGTACATTTTTGCTTCTGAACAAAGTATTCTACCAGTTATATATTGAATTGAGGCCCTTTGTATATACCGATTGATCATGTTACTTAACTCCTAACAGCATAACACATTACTGAAGATTGTTTTCTTAAGCTCCCTAAGCTTTATTATAGTTCATGGAGAGTTCTAATGCGAACTGTCCAGTAATCAACAACTGTCTATATCTCTTATTATCGTTTTTATTGAGTTTCGGTATAAATTTCCCGATAAAAATGAGTTTGCTTATCTCTAACTTATCAAGAATATTTTTATGATTTATGACCCTTGTGTCCTGGTAATATATCATGTGATGCGATCGCCAATTAGTGTCACCGACTTATTGACCGGACCAGTGACGCATAGGCCAGTATTAGCAGCATGGTGTCTTTATTGCTCCTTGAGATAACAGCTTCTCGTCTAACCCATGCGATTCAGTTCAGAACGCAAATGACAGCCTCCGTTATATCGAATCATCTATTTCAAACATACTTTATATACAAACAAAATCAGACCACATCACATAAAATAGAAAATAACATTTGTACAAGATCAAGCCAAAACGTGGCTGTGATTGTGAGAAATGGTGACTAATAGACTGAGAATAACTTAGGAATAGTAAATCATATAACAGTAACCAATAAGGTCAAATAAAATCTTATAATAAGAGGAATATATATATATATATATATATATATATATATATATATAATCTAGTTTCTTAACAGTTATATAATGAGAATATATGTATAATATTAGTCCACAAATAGTTCTCAGAAGTTACCCATAATTTAATCTTCACTAGGATATAACATATTTTATCCGAAAACTCTGACAGTATAGTCTTTTCAGGTGAACGTGTTGAGAATTTAAGACTTCAAAACTTGTACACACCAGGATTCACTATGCTAGCAAACAGTGAGGTTTTTAAACTCATTTACTGCTTCGCGCAGCCAGAACGTTGTATAAATTCTGATATATCGGTAATTAACGAAATCACTACCTCTTGGGTATGCTTACATAATGTATTCACCACTTACTGGTCCAAATCATTACTTATTATTACTTATTCAGATATCTGAATTCTACCTAAATTATTCGAATACTGTCCACCAGTTTTTTTAGTTTTCACTAATTCATGATTGAAGTTAATTATTTTATGAAACCCTTGTTCTTATTAAATGATTTGTATTTCGCTCTCTTTTTCTCTCAAAGTTAACTCGTAAATGTTTACATAAAATATTATCGTCCAGTGAATCAGAAGATGTATCTGTAGAATATCTTCAATCTCGGCTAACATCTCTACACAATGTAACATGTCGTTGGAAATGTTTATTATTGTTAAACTACAATGATGACAATGTCGATGATAATAATTTTGATAGTAATGGTAGTAACTCCAATAGAAACCAATTAATGAATTCAAGAAAGCAATCAAAAGATAATTTTACTACAATACCTTTATCGATTTTGAATGATTTAATTGAGTGTTTCAATCTATTGGTATGTATTATGAATTTAGCTTTAAAATAGTGTCTTGTTCTAAATTTCATAGGGATATAATACGTATTCACGGATTTTTTTTAGCTCATCTACCACTCAATATTTAATATGTATGCAATATCTAGCATTTTTTCCATTCATTTACCTAATGAAAGCATGGTTTTCACTGAGGGTTTCATTTTTTACTATTCTATTCGACAATTTGAATTTCCTTACAGTAGCCTGTTCATATGTCCCGCTGATATACTAAGTTAATGAAGAAAAATCCTTGATGAAAATGCTAGATCGTGCACTTTTATTGATCACTGAAAAATTATGGTTATCCGCATATGTCTACTATATGGATCATTTTAATTGTCCGCTAATTAACAGAAATAGCATTAAAACAACTTTAATTTAAGTTTATCATTTACATCCACCTTCTCTTCATTAATAAATAATTTTTCACACCTCACTTTACACTCCTCCAATAATAATGATAATCTTTAAAAAAATGAGGTAAAGAAAAACACCACTGTTGTTTTAATTGCCAACCCATAGACAGCTTGATTTTTAGATAAGTTTGCTTTCATTTAATTTTATAAATCGTTTGTTATTATATTGAAAATGAACTTTTACATGGGAATCGGTATTGTTAGAAAATAGAAAGTTGGAGTTTGATGCGTTAGCTGTTTATATTACTGCTCCTCATAAATTAACGTTTTTTTATTTAGTTTTCATGATAGAATTGTGATTGCTCAATTTTCTACACACTGTCGACTATATGTTTTGCTTCTATGCTAATCATGCATTTCGATCATATGACTTACAAATTATGCACCCAGATCCATATAGACAACAGTTTGTATGTAGAAGTTAATATTAAGACATAGTGTTAATCATCCTTGAAACTTCGTCAACGCACGTAATTGTTTTAGCCAATTAGCGATTTTCGTTCATTTTTAGTGAGTTTCATAAATTTTACTAGTTCGAGTGATCAAACACTCAAATTATTAAACTGAACATGGATTTTATGGTTCAAGACTCATTAAATGATTGGGTGTTTATAGATTTACTAAGAATTCTCCATCAGTAGCATTCGATATCCAAATGTGACAGATGATAATGTCGTTTTCTTCTACAAACTTAATTGAGTTTACGGAGTTTGAACTCAATTATCTATAAATCAATCAATCACGGCTTACATGTAGCAAGCTTAAATAAGAAGTATAACAAGCGTTAAGTTGACTTCATTAATACTGTCCAAACAATTCAGTTTCGTAACTCAGCTTAATGACTAGTGGCTTAGCAATGTTCATGTTCTCAGTACTTGTTTAATTTTTTATCTCAGGTCTTCATATGTCTATATCTAACTCATTGTTGTTTGAAATTTTATTCATTATTTATTTATTCATTATTGCTTGTCGTACTTACACTATCATATCTATCTGAAATTTCTTTATTCCTAATTAGAAATTTTAATCATTCTATTTAATATTCGATTCCGTAATTCTATTTAATTTATGTACATCATGATTATCTTTCTTATATAATTTGTGTAACTTAATACTTTTATGCTTTTCACGTTTCTTGCTCACTCAGAAATTTAATAACATTAGTATAAAGTGAAAAACAAACAAACCTTGAAAATAATTGCTCTAGTCAGCTTGTTTTTTTTCAAGTTTTAATCTATTGTCGAATCATTAATCTACATGGATTCATCATATTAATATGACAATGGAAATGGTAATATTTTAAAATATGCTGTTCATCACTGAGAACTTGTTGTTGATGATGATGATACATCGATTTTTCTGTTCGCTACGACTTAATTTGACTAATCTGTAAACAAAACTGTGTATTTTATTAAAACACGTCTATTCACTGTCCAATATAAATATTAATGGGTTTCCATTGAAACATCTATCAGGAACAATCATTCAAAGACTCTTTTGATCATTATGAGATAAATTTTCAAAAGTCCAAATAAGTGAATTCAGTTCGGTTGTTTAAATATTCATTAGATAGTAGTATAACCAAATATTTGATGCTTTTTTACATTGTAGAGATCGACATTATACTAATAGTGTAGTAAATTTCAATGGGTGTACATTTGTCGTCACACATATCTCACTTTTGTTCTTCTTCAAGATTTTTTTCTCACTTTTCATTTTTAGCGTGATCTACCGCCGATTCAGTCAACTTTTGATTTAGGAAATCAATTAGCTACAATACTCAATACAACTTTAGTGTATTTATATAAGTAAGTTCATAATTGTTAAAATATATCATGTCATAGTTATAGTAAAAATAGTTAATGGCAAACTCTTTTCTTAAGTTACTAAAAATGTAATCATCTATAACTTATTACCGTTTCGATATTCGAATTCTCCCTCCAACGCTTACTCAATTACTATGTCTATCCCTGTATAATATACTTGATTCCTTATCCTCACGAAATTCTTCCGGTGTACTGCTATCAGTTTATAGACTATGAGTTAATCTGAACGAAGGTTGCAAAAGGTATCGTAAGGCTTAAACAATATAAAATATTTGAACGGCCCGATGGATTACTGATATGTCTTCTATATGATTACTTGCTACTCACTTTCTAATTGCTACCTAGTTCCCTCAGTAATCTTAAACTTGTATCCCTAGGGGGAAGATAAAAAGTGGAAAGTAGGAAAAAAGCTTTACTTCCAAGATTAGTTTAGGTTCAGGAAATAAACATTTTAAAAATTATGTGTTGCGTTGGTCTACTGAAACGTTCTATGATCCTGTTAAAATTAGTAGAAAGATAAGTAATTATCCAGCCAAAATAGGACACATAATCTATCGTTTCTCTCCAACTCTTCGAGACGTTTCTATTGGATTTTGATTTAATGGAACATTTTCCAGTAAACAGGCTTACTCATTAATGGGGCACTTCATTTCTACTATTATTTTGGTAGAATTAAATGATTTTCGCAGTTAGTGTTTATCATAGCTAACTTGTAATGTTAGGTTAACTTGATTTCGAATGAACATTGTGGCAATCCAAGATCAGAGACCGTTGTGTCTCCATAATTTTTATTCATACTGTTTATCTAATATTTATCCTAATAATAATAACCACAACTGCAAATATATCTTATTCACATTTTCCCAGAACTTATAATACGTCAAAGAAAAACACACCAATCGAAGAATTATCAACGAATGATTTGGCTAATTATTTAACAAAACTGAATGATCTCTTGTCAAGTTTCCAACTGGCTATAGATTTCCAAATTCAGCATATGCATTCAGATTTACTAGCCAGTACTTACATACTGTTCAGTTGGTATGATTCGAAAAGATTAAATGAAAAAACCACAGATGATAAGTTTGAACTACTTCAATCTTCTTTATTCAATAATGCAATTTGCTTTTTAAGCCTACTCACACGTAATCCTAACATAAGTAAAATTGAAGAATCTGTAAGTTCAACAAGTGATGTATTCACTACATTTTTCCATAATAATGTTTATATGAAATGTTCCCGCGCATCTTTGGGATGCGTTACTCTCTCTTTGGATGTTAAATGTTGCTTCAGGATTAGTCTGTGTTAACGTGTAAACATTTTATATGGAATGAAGTAGTTGATGGTGTTGAGCACTTTATTTGTCTTTAAAGTCTTATCAGCTTTGGTGGGTCAGTGGCTGACGCAATCTCGCACCGAGTTCAAAATTCTCAATTGGGTTTGTCAACTTACATCACCTGTCGTATAGGCGAGATATCTGATTTTTAGATAAAACTGATATAGTGGGGGTAGCGGTGCGAAAGTTACTTTTGCGGTTGTTATACGATGGATTATTGTATATATTTTCATTGTATAAACATTAGGCTCTTTAAGTATATTTTTATATTCTCCTATTTTTAAGCTTTCGTTTGATCTATAAATTGCCGTCACATGTCTTATTGCTTCAAATTTATCGTCATTTAATTATTTAGCTACTACTCCGGTTTCATATCACTTATGGCTGAATTATGCACCATTTGTAACTTTTTAATTTTGTTGTTTTGTCGTCAGACATTCCAGATAAATTACTGTTTAAATTTCAATTCATAATTGGAATAGAGTACAATGAAAAATTAATCTGCCTTCCGTCTATTTTTCTTGTTGGACACTTGGTTAAAAGTAGCTCGAAGATCTTGGTTATTGTTCATTGGTCTCTGTGTCATTTCGTAGATAGAAGTTCCCTGATCCTACAGAAAATATAAGCAATCAAACAATAACCGAATAAAAGAGTATAAATGCTACTGTAATATAGGCCGATCACAGTCCCAGTATAATCTAAGCATACGTTCCTCTTCTCTTTATTATATTAAAAACGACCTATTAGATTAGGAAACATATTTAAGCTGCATGTTTTGTCTTATAGATGTCTCCGAAGCATCTCTCTCTCTCTCTTAGTGAAGCCATCTAGTAAGTAATGCTGTGATAAGACGCGGCTCAGATGGAAAAAATGGACAATTTATTTAATGGAGCTATAGATTTTCATCAGTTGAGATAGTTGGACACGCATAACGCGTGTCCTAGCCACCTACCTCGATGCATGATATTAGCTAACACAACGGTAAGTTGAAAGAGAGCTGGGGTAGATCAAATCAAGACGTGACACTAATTCATGTAATCAATGAATATTGATCTAAGCCATCTTAGTAGATGCACGCTACCTGTTTGAATTTCATGCAGTATCTATAATCAATAATTGGAAACACTGATTTATATGGCTCTAAATCGATCATATAAGGTATATTGATGCATATTTGCGTCAGGTCCTACAATGATAATGTCTGTCTAATGACAAGTCTTACTTTTACTAAATATGTTACAATAATATCTTTAGTCTACAACTCTCCAGTAATGTTACAACTGATGGAACTCAGTAGCCAGCTTCCGTTTAATGTTTTCTAAACTTCAAGCACCATTCACTTCGTGGATGTTCAAAAAGTTGAATGACATTCAAGGTCAAAATAGACGAACTGTGAAGTAAAATCCTGTAACTTATCACAGTTAAATGTTAAATATTTTTATGTTTATTTTTGTTTTGTTTTTATTTTCACTTACATTTACCTTGTTCTTTAAAAGCTCATAATATGTCTAAGTGAACAGTATCGTTAAATGATGAAGTTACATTTTTGAGGTATCATGATTTTTTGGGTACTTAAAACTTTTAACTAGTGTGTAAAGAATATGTGTAAAATTAGAATTAAGAATGCTTTACCGATTACACTTTTATTATTTATAGTTTTAGTCTATTGAATAGTTTTACATCTTGTCATTGTAATGTGCTCATCGTCTTTGACTGTAAAATATTCAAACTTATGTATTCCGTTAACTTTACAGGCTATTTTACAATCGGTCAATCTAATCATCTTCTTATGGGATCATAATCAATCTACAACATTGTTTACACGTCTCACTGATACTGGTGTTTTGAATAATATTTTCATTTTATTGACTGAATGTACCAAAGTAAGTTAAATTTACTAAAGATACATAAGTTAAAACGAAATGAATGACTTGAATTTTTTTTCATCATGTGGATAAACTGATTCAGAATCTTCAACTTTAATTATTCTGCCGGTATTTGAAAGCATAAAGAAAAGATTTAGAGCTAATGTAGTAGACGTTACTCACAAAAGTATTTGTAAGTACTATGTTGTGAAACGTGGCCCTGAAGTTGTTGGATGGAATAAAGTTTCAATACAGCGAAAGCGGGGCGTTGACAGAATACTTGGAGGTTAGTCAACAGTTTAGATTGTAGAACACAACAAAAGATGCAAATAAACGATTGAGAGCTATGTATATGTATTATGTAAATGCTTTGTCACTTCTCACAATAAACACAGATTTCTTGTACACTAATGGTAATAATAGAATAATACGATGCATTCACCTTTAAGATGTCTGTGAACCATTTTTTTCTTCTTACACAGGGAGTAAATGATATTGCTTATACCAAAGACAGTACCCATAATAAATATATAGCTAGTTAAGCTAGTAACTATAAATGGGGAAAATCCTAAGCCATTGAGTTTATTACTTTACAATAATCTAATGGTTAGTAACAAAAAAGAAAACAAATTTCCAACGAGGTTTCTATAATCTATTTCGATCTTTTTAAAATATTTTTTAATTTTTAATATCTCGCAGATTAATTAATCAATTGAAATACAATTAGAATTCATTTGGAATAGAATTCAAGCACTCCACTTTTAATACGCTGGTTTAACTTAACATTTGTTTTTACTTTTATAGGAAATCATTTGATATCATTCATTTACTTAAAATATTTTTGGTCATATTAGTAAGAGGACCGGTCAAATATGAAGGATCATTTTCAAAATAGTTACTCTAATTTCATACAAAATTAGGTTTTCACTGTTGAAATCACGAAATGATCATAACTAGATGATGAATAAGATCCTGGGAGCACTGAATGGCCGTTTCGTACCGATATGTGACTCCTCAGCAGCTCATGAATTCCAATAAGATGTGGAAAATGTTTTTTTAATTAAAAAAAGTGATTTTAAGAATTCTCCTCTTCAACCATATGCTGTTTGATATTAGCTAAACCATATCCGGTTTTATGTATTTCAACATGTTTAACAATTCGAATAAGAGCTGGTGGTGGTTCGTTGGATAAAAAACAATGGTCTCGTAATACAGATTAAGAACGTTTATCTCAAGTTGATTTAAGTTGTAACAACGTTTACATAACCAACCTGTTGGTGGACACCATGATACTCTCATATAAAACCCATTATCTAGCATAAGATACAATATAATCTGTTAACTGTTAATCAATGTAGTTTTCTATTATTTCGTTTACTACACATATTTTTGTGTTCTTGGTTACGAGTCCAACTCCAAGTGTTATGAGCTAATAAATTTTTACCTGATTGCCTAAATTGAACTACATTTAGAGGTGTTCGGACCTGAAACTTGAACACGTTTACCACTGATGCACCGCTTCAATGTATTCGTAACCATCAATCCGTTTTATATAGTAGAAAAACTTGTAAAACTGCTTAGATAGTGCGTTTTAGCACAATTCTTATATCCAGAAAAAATCAATTAACCGATATGAACTACTCATCAAAAAATATTTAAAAAATTCAATCTATTTATCGTACTTACCGCTTTTATGCTGCACTCCGATTCCATTTCAAAATCTTCTGGATAGTATCATTTGTATCAGTCTTTCAGTAACAACGTAGAACTGCGTACGTACAGTACAGTACATCAGTTCGATTTGCTATACCACATTAGCACAAAGATACAATTGTCGATTCAAATCCCATAGTGGTAGAGGTGGTAAAAGTATAGGCAGTAATCGGAAACATTAGGGTTTGAATATGTTATTCAAGGAGTATAATCCGGTGAAATAAATTTGGAAATAGGAAAAAAGGGACACGAAGAATTCAGAAGATTAGAATTTGGGAAAACACAAAGAGCGGATGCACCTGTGCCATTGCAAACGATTTTGAGCCATGTCATTCAAGGTCTCTAACCATCGGTTGCTATCATCTCGCGGTCCCCAACCAGGTAGTCTACACCTACCAACATGACTCAGTTCACTTGTCAGTGACTTCATGGACTTGTGCCATGTTTTGGTTTGGCCGCCCCTAGCTTTCTTCCAACCTACTCCTATACCACTGAACATAGCACGTCGAGGCAGTCGGTCGTTGGGCATACGTAACACGTGTCCCAGCCATCTCAACTGATGAAGTTTCACTACTTCATCGATTGATTTGCCATCCTTACCTAGTACCCGTTTCCTAACAACTGCATTACTTATTCGATGGTCCCAGGATATACGAGCAATGTTTCGAAGACACCTATGATCGAATGCTAGTAACCTACGAATATCCTCTACTCTTACCGGCCATGTTTCACTGCCATAAAGTAGGACGGAACGAACTGCTGCGCAGTAAACACGTCCTTTGGTTGATGGATATCTCGCCTACGCCATAAATGACGCGTGTTGGCAAAAGCTAGTCGAGCCTTCTGTATCCGTGCTGAGATTTCGTCACACAACAGACCACAAGGGCTGATGAGACTTTCCAGATAAGTGAAGCGATCGACACGCTCAAATACTTCACTCCCTATCATTAGTTCGGGTGTCGATGCAACCCAATCCTGAAGCAACATTTTGCATTTCGATGGAGACAATCGCATGCCGAACATGTTTGCATTGTTTCTTATAGTGGTGAGAAGACTACATCTTGTCAGCGTCTTCACCAAATAGAACCATGTCATCGGTATATTCTAAGTCAATAAGTAAATCTCCTGATAGAAGTTCAACTTCTGGAAGTTAAGATGAGGAAAGTGTCATCTCTAAAAGCACGTCTACGATAAAGTTAAACAGGAATGAAGGGCCCTGACGAACATCACTTGAGGTAATCAATTCATGTGTATTGTTATAGCCTAGTGAATGAATCTGTTTAGATTGTATTACTTATCTTACAAATGTCATAATTAGCTGGCTTATTTTAAATTTTTTTCATAAATAATGTGTAATTATATTCATTGAATTCCTGTATATTCTTTTTCAGCTTAAAGATGGTGCAACTCTTAGTCATAGTTTAATTAGCTTACTTGTGAAATTAGTGATCAATTCATCTCAACCTTTGTGTAATATGGCAACACTAACCAACACATCCAATGTAAATAAATTACCTCATCCTATAAGAACAGATTTAGACGAATCAATTGATCAATGTACTGATGAGTCAGAGAATAATTTATTAAATAAACCGAAGAATATAATTACTCAATTAGTTTTATCCTATCATGAATATATATCACAAGCATTCTGTTGGCCTCAGTTAGATACTTTACGTCAATGGTTACAAGATGGTGAATCGTATTCAAATGTAAGTTTATATAATTAAGTTGATAACAACATCATCTATATTCCTTTTGTAGTTGTCTCATTCAAATCATGGATCTTTAATATTAGACTTTTGAGTTCTACCCAACCTACTCGGTTTAGTTGACTATTTGAGTAACTTTTGTTAATATCTGAAATACATATAATTCATTTACCAAGTACAAGTTTGTTGTACTATTTCAAGTCCATATAGTGTGCACGGGAACGTCTTATACTATCTGGCTGGCTAACCTAAATTAGGATGAGCCGGGTTCGAACCTATGGCATTACTGACTGTAAAGAAAGTAATGTAACCACTAAGCACTCAGCTATCTTAATTTCTTTTAAAGTTGTGTACACGTACATGTTTTACTTCGTATATTTATTTATCATTAATTATTATTTTTGTACAGATACAAGCTAATTCATTTGATGATCATTGTTACATGAGACAAACGCAATCTGTAAATTACGATTGGAATGCTGTACTTATCTTGGAGATGCGATTTCTATGCTTACTTCATGATAATCTTGGAGGTATGAAGCATCCATTAGTCTATTCGCTAATACAAAATTTTTGTATGGATAATGCTAGTCAATTGGAATTCTTTGTGAATTATTGGTGTTCATCATTGTATAATAATAATAATACATCCATTAATGATCAACATCTTATGTCTCCATTACCGATCACTAGTGTATTAATTCAACAAGGTATATTGTCCACAGATCGAATTCAATTAGCTGAAACTATTTTAAAGTTATATTGGCGTATTCTAGTTGCTGCTGAATATATCAGTACATCAGGTCTACCTATAATAGCATCAAATATCCTATATTCAAACCATTCACGAATTGCAAATCTCAATTCACATATACCATTGGTAGGTTCATATTATTGTTTTGAAATATGCCCTAACTATTAACTTTTTTTTCAAGCCATCTTATGGTCCTACTGTACATTCGGAATTCTTTAACACAGTATTCAATCTTATTCAATGCCAAATACATTGTTGTTCAATATTGTTTCAACGTCATGGTTTTAAATCATTTAAAAGTGTTTCATTCTCAGGATCACATATAACACCAACTAAGTCTGGAATTACCGGTCAATCATCATCTAGTCCATCAGGTATACTTTCATCGACGCTGCCTCAAACAACATTAATGATGAGTAAATCAAATGAAGTTGTGACAAGTTCACATTCTGTTAGCTCAGTATCAATGGAATCATCTGGTTCAGAGACTAGTGGATTAAAATTCCTTTATCTCATACGACATCTTATTATGTCACTTAGCGTATTAATGGTTCAATTGCCTATCCTCGGCAAAGCATCTTTAATGACAGTGAGTTAAATAAATCGTTGCTCTGTATGATATCTGAAATATTATGTATATTTATGTATAAATGTTATTAATTTATAGATTTTTCATAAGCATCTTATTATAATCATGTTATATTTTGCACTTAATTAAGATAAAGATCGTAAGTGTTAATTCCGAAATTTGTTCGAATGTAGTACAATAAAACAATATGCCAACAATAAGATTTCAGTCATCGTTAATAGTTGAGAGCTATAAGAAAAAAAAGCTAGTCTTTTATAAGAATGTTTTTATTGTTTTTAAAAAATAGGCAGTATTAATACAACCTGTTTATGTTACTTACTTTCGCGTGTCACCCTTCGTGGGAGAGTATAAGCCGCCCACCAGAATCCTCCATCGAACTCTGTCCTAAGCAGTTCTTCCTAGTTGTCATTCATTCTTTTAATCCCTGCCTTCAATTCTCGGTGCAATGTATTGTTTTGTCTGTCTTTTTTCACCTTCAGGACTCCAAGTTAGGGCTTTCTCATATTGCACCCCGATGATTCCCTCCTGTAGCTCTTCTAGGATCACTGCTGGTTCCAAGCCCAACTAAAGGAGAAGGGTTCGGCATGTAGTCATCAACCCCATCCTGTGGAAAAGAACCATACTAAAAAAAGCACTAACCCGTTTATATATGAGGTCCTATATTAGAAAATTAATACATTTAACAAAATAAATCGACGAATGCGATAAAAGTAAACATTTTGGACTTGTTGTTTCTAAAACTATTCTTAATATGTTTTGCACAAAATTGTTTACTTAGTTCTCCTTCACATTATCTCATTTTGTTTTTCTTCTTTCAGTCTGATGAATTGAAATACTTGAAAGTTCATGTTCATCTTACATTTAATAGTCCTAATTTAAATGACAATTCAACTGTATTAACATTTGGTGTTCTAATTACCTTAGCTAATTCATTAGGCAGTTTATCTTCAAAAGTGAGTTTAAGTTTTTTTCATTCTTATTATGTTCCTGTATTCTCATTATTTCAAGATATTTCATATTTATTAGTAGTGAGTACTTTTGATATAGAAATACACTTAACTGTTGGAGAGACCCAGAAAATTCGTCGAAAAAAGCCCAAAGTGGCCCTGAAAACGCCGAGAAACACTTTATCCAATCAGCATTCAATAGATGTTTCTCAGAAACATCTAAAAAGTGAAGAGTCACGTGTCGTATTTCTGATTCGATGATTACCTATCGTGCTACTGTGTTTAGTAGGGTCCCAGAGCTATCAATTTTCTGTGCTTTAACCAACCTTGGAGTAAAGCGTTTTCTCCATATTTCGCACTTTTTCTCTCGTGTTCAAGTTGTCGTGTAGAGTTATTTTGGTGTTATTAGAAAGAGCCTAGGAAACTGATTTAAGCGCTCAGTCAGAAGATTTATCAATAATAAAAACATATATTGTACAAATGTTCATGATTTTCAAAACATACGTTAATTCCGATTCTTTTCATTCTATGAAAAAGGCTAACATTATCGAAAAATAGAGATTTCATAGATTAGTTGTAAAATTTTAGATTGTGAATAAGTTTTTCTTACTCTTCATTAATAATATCTAGATGATAGTAAGGAGTAAAATATCTCTGCGCCTATTGTTATCGATTCTTAGCTATTTAATTCAATGTCTTCAACTAATAATCATGATCGTCTCCTGCACCTACCAACATGAAATAATATGGCCTCATTAAAACGTCATTTCATGTCTCTAATTTCTCTTTGAACAATCCACGTGTAACTTTACACAAGCATACACATCTTTCTATAAAAATGGTGCACTAACCTGAATTAGTGATAGTAATTTTAACTTGGTAATTGTCGACTAGACTTATGATAATTTTACATTATGACTTTATCACTGAGATACCATACCTCCGTACTTATATGACCCTACTGCCCATGATATAAACATGTGAAACAGGATGGGACACGCTAATATTAAGGTTGACATTTTCTAGTCCATTTATTCTGTTGTATCAAAACAAATTCGTTGCAGATGTTGATTATTTAGAGAAAACACCATACTACTGTCATACCCTTTTACGGTTTATCAAGTCTATCATCTATCATTTCACGCATTTCTAAACTGTTAATGCTATTATCAGTATTATTATCACTGTAATTCTGATTTTTCTTATATCATTTTCAGTTAAGTAGTGTATGGAAGTCCTGTCAATCTAGTGAATCAGTAATTGCACAAAGAAAACGAGAACTCTGGTTAGTATTGGTTTACTGTTTGTTTGTTTTATTTACCATGATTCAACTGGTTCTTTTTTTCATACATCTCGTTTGTATTTATTCTTTCTGTCATTAGGAAACGGATCATTTTGAATCGAAATTATGAACCGATCTAAGTTAGACCACCACTGAAAACCTGGATCCCCTGAGCGGCCGTTTCGTCGTAGTATGGAACTTCACAGCAGTGCACGCTTCCCACACAGGAATCAAACACAGAACTTTAGGTTTCGCACATGAACGTCTAATCTCTAGACTACTGAGTCGATATCCAATGATGTTTTTGTCTAACTTCGATCAGTTAACCACCGCGACCGTGGATGCGCACTGCTGTGGTGTCCCATTCTAGGACAAAATAGTGGCCCCCCAATGATTCCGAGATTACAATGGTGGTCTGACCTAGATAATTTTATGATTTCAATCAAATTCAGCAATCTCCACAACCCCATACTAAAAATTATTTTGCATCAAATTTTCACACTTTTCCTTTGCTATAGAAAGATTTTATTTGTTTTTATATTTAAACGTTATTGGAATTAATAATTTTTTTCGTAGGAGCATCATATCCTTATTAGTGTTTTAATTTGAATTAGATCACGGATCGTTTGATCTTCCGCGTCCCTTTCAATAACGCTCACTTCTTCAACATCAAATTCTTGCTATGTCACCTATGAATAACGGTACTCACATTTTAGTAATTTAAATCGTATCTTGAAACTCCATACCCACGGACTTGTGCTTGTATAACAAATCATTATCACATGCTGATACATTTGAACTTGTACTTGATAACTGAGTTGCTCTAAACACGTTTTTAATTTGCTAAAATATAAATTCATCAGTTGTATACTTAAAACTTTTTATGAAGTTAATATACACGTGAGATACCTGGAGGTGGTTGACAAGACACCATTTACTTATGCTTCATACTAGTTGGCACTATTCAACAGGGCGTACCTGTGAAATTGAGGGAATTGATGCTATTTGTTTATTTCACTTTGATCATTTGATTTGTTATTTTAACTCCGATAATATATCGTTTGTAGTTGATGTTCTTATAGCATATCACTTGGCTTGTTTCAATTAAAGTGATTGATAATGCAAAAGATAAAAACACTGAAGAATACTATTTGCAAAGAAGAGATAAAAGTATGAAATAATACTTGAAGCTCAAAATATTTGGGGATGATAAAGTGGAAGGGATTTAGGGCATTGTGGCTGATTTTCAACCATGTTATGCAACGCTTTTTAATAGGTTGTGATTAGTTCCTATATCGTAGGAAGTTTTATTATAAACACCTACATGTAAGAAGACTAAACTACCTATGTAACATGTTTCAAATATTTACAATATTTTTTCACAAACTAACTACTTGCCATAATGGACTTCTTACAGTCCTTAATTTTACGTTAGTTGTCATTTAGTTGTTCTATTTGACCAATATTGAACTCTATGTTTCCGTATTTAAACATGAAGCTTGACTCTAAATTATTGTATCTTATTAATTCTCTTACTGAATAGTATGTAATCTGGTAATCGTTGAATTGTATGTTTTCAATATTTACAAATGATTATCTCATGATTTTCCTTTCAAGTACTTGGTTAATCATTTTACGTTAATTTTCTAATCACTTGTAAAATCATAGTATTATGAAATATTAATGATAGATTAGCATCATATATATTTGTAGTAATGTGGATCCATGACGAAAATTTTCAATGATAAGAAATATTCCATTTCTCTATTCGTCTCTTTCGTCTAGTTCTTTGGTTCAACGTGCTTATGAAATGGTTCTATCGATAATTTTCTCTCAGTCTACTATACTTTTGACGAGTCCATCTGTTAGACCTATGGATAAACAATTACTTTTACGTGAATTAACTGCTGAATTGGTTAGTTTTTGTTTTATTTTCACTCATCATACTGCAATTTCTCATAGTTTACAACATGAACTGATATCTTTCAGCTAACCGTTGATAACCTGTAGGTATTGGACATCTATTTCGTCCTTGTATGGGGCTCCTCAACAGTGGTCACCCATGAATCCAGTGAGGATCAAATCCAAGTAATCTGGACTCATGGCGGGCTCTTAGCCTCTAGATCATATCTGTTATGGTTTTATGTCCGGCTCTTTATCACGTGATTTATCCACCAATCAAAATACGACTTATGCAATTTTCGACTGTGCCAAACCAATGACGTTTGACCGGTATGAGCAGCCTGGCGTCCTTATGAGCCCTATGTCCGCCTAACCCGTCCAATTGAGTCCAGAACACCAATACCAGCTTCCACTATGCGAATTGAATCGAATCATGTATTTCAGACATACTGGATTCATATATCAATCAAACATCGCAACGCACTATAAAATAGGAAATAATATTTGTACACAATGAAGCCAAAACGTGGCTGTGGACGTGGGAGGCAGTAGTTAGTAAAGTGAGCATAATTTAGGGACAGTAAAACGTATAATTATAAATTATAGGTCAAAATGAACCTTTAAATAAGAGGAATATAAATATACATAATCTAATTATTGAATAATTATACAATAAGAATATTTATAGAATATTAGTCTGTTAATAGTCCTCGGAAGTTTCCTGTAATTTAATCTCTACTAGGATATAACAATATCCAGAACCCAATAGTATACCTGTCCAATTTCAATTAATTTTCGACACTACTTAATCATCTTTTATCTCTTGTGGTGGATAACTTTCTCACATTCGATATGATTGAATTTCACCAGTCATAGCTTCTCATTAGGACTATCGAAATCGCATCGCGAAGTTAGTCATTAGTGAGCACATGATTTTGTTTGGTATAAAGGGGTTTGCGGAGGTTATAGAACCTTCATAGTTTTCTGATTTCCAATGTTCGTCTATCTAAGACCAGCTTGCAATGTAAACGATAAATATTCTACAATCTCCACAAACTCGCATTTATTGCTATTTTTAATATTCATACGAATAAGTAAATCTGCAACGTAGTGATGTCTTAACTATTTCCAATTAATTATTTCCAAAATGCATTACTTGGTTCTTACGGGGTTTTCGAAATACTCAGTCAGTCTATAAGGTATCTAGAGCCTGCGAGAGATGTGAATCTGGTTAACCTGTCCTACAACATCAGCACAGCTGTATAGAAATTAAAAGACCAACACCTGAGTAGTAGAAGTAAATGTTTCCCCTTCAAATTCGTATATCAACTTACTGCTTCGTACCCAGTTCTTCCTTTTTTGTAAATTTTTTTCAAAGAAAGATAATTTGAAAACATTCACTTGTTATTTCTAAGTGAATAATTCTGTATGGATCATTCATGAAACCCATGGTTTGTGATTAAAAATCCCTTAATCTTGAACGTTTTGTAATTTAATTATTTTTCTGATTTACGTTTTTCTAATTTTAAAATACCTAGTAATTTTTTCTCTGTATTTTACATTAATAGGAAGCTTGTCACTCTTTTGGTATATCTTTGCGCCGTACATCTTCTGTTGGACATCCTATCACAAATACGTTTTTACCTCGAAGTCCAAGCAGTCGATCTTCCAGTACACATTTACGTTTAAGTTCAGCATCTCCTCAAACACCGGCTTCGAGCTCAAGTCATTTACGGAATGCACCACCGCCTTTAGGTTCAACTATCCCATTAACAGATTCATCCAGTTTCGGTTTTGATAAAGCTGCTAATCGGTTCATAGAACTTTCACGTCTTAGTTTGTAAATGTTTTTTTCATCTTCAAGTGAATTCTTTTTCATTGTATTTCTAAAATAAATCTTTGTATGCGCTTGTATATGTTTAGATTTATGTTACTTAGTATAAATGAATGTTATTATAAATATTTCCCTTTTTACTGAAATCCAGTTAATTTAGTGCATTTGAGTATCACTTTTAAGCTCGTTGATACGTTTAGTTTGAGTTTCAACAAACAAAGCAACTATCTTAACTGAAGTACTCAAAATCAGTCACTCGAATACTTGCAAAACATTTGAAAAAACTAATTAATCTATACTCCGTAGTCTGAAATTAAATGTGTACAATTTTTTGTCCGTATTTTTTAAACTTAAAAATCATTTGCTCAACGTTACATCGCATTGGCTGTGGAGCTGGAGCTTTGTGGTCAAACTATTCGAATTTCAGCCACTAAGTCTTTGGTCTAATCACCTCTCCATCTAATGCGGTCCAGGAAACCGGGAAGTATCAAAAGCTTTCAGAATTTAAGCATGCTTTGGAACCAATTATTTAAATCTGTAAATGACAAATAATAAGTAGATGAATACTCATCACAGTTCTATTTGGAAAAGATGAAATACTGTCTCTTAGTCATGTTGTAATTCATTTCTTCTTCAAATATCGTTTGTTTTTTATGTTTTGATAATACTCGATATTTCTTTATTTTTATTTAGTTCGCTTTTAAATATGGATAACTTTTCAGATCTGTTTATTAATCTACTGGGAATTTTCTCATCACCATTAAGGTGAAATCTATCAACTTATTATTCTTCAACCCAAAACATCATTTTTTTACATATTTTAAAGTATTTGAACTTCATATGCATTTTTAATGATCTAGTGATTGTTTTATATGTTTACAAATGACTTCAATAATATTACTTACTTACCTACGCCTGTTACTCCTAATGGAACATAGGCCGCCGACCAGCATTACCTAACCCACTCTGTCTTGGGCCTTCCTTTCCAGTTCCGTCCAATTCTTGTTCATTTTTCTCATATCTACCTCCATTTCCCGGCGTAATATGTTCTTTGGTCTTCCTCTTTTCCTTTGCCTTGAGGATTCCATGTGAGGGCTTGTCTTGTGACGCAGTTGGGTGCTTCCCTCAATGTGTGTCCTATCCACTTCTAGCGCTTCTTCCTGATTTCTTCCTCCGCTGAGATCTAGTTTGTTCTCTCCCACATTAGGTTGTTGCTAACAGTGTCTGGCCAACGGATACGAAGTATTTTGCGTAGACAACTGTTAATAAACACTTGTATCGTCTGGATGATGGCTTTTGTAGTTCTCCAGGTTTCTACCCCATACAGTAGAAGTTTCTTGACATTTGTACTGAAAATTCTGGCCTTGGTGTTGGTTGACAATTGTTCCGAGTCCCAGATGTTCTTCAGTTGTAAATATACTGCTCCCGCTTTACCGATCCGCGCTTTCACATCTGCATCAGATCCACCATGTTCATCAATGATGCTGCCCAAATATAAAAAGGTTTTTACATCTTCCAAATCTTCCCCGTCAATTGTGATTGGATTGGTGCATGCTGTTTTAAAATAATATAGTTGTATGAAAATAATAGTAATAATAGAAATACCTAACAATTGACTTCTTATCAGATTTAAATAAGTAGATTGAGAGAAATTTAAAGTATTTCAGTATACAATAAAACAATTACAATTCTACAGTGTGTTACACAGTGCATTTGATGACAACTACTTTTTAAGCGTAAACGCAATTTTTCTCAAATAATATATCACTTATTGTGGAATGTAATTTCTGACATTAACTTTTTAAAAGGAATCAAATTTACTTTAACAAAATTAATCACCAACGCATTATATATTTGGAATCCAAATATAATCGTCCCTTACTAATCGTAATCAACTGACGGCTTATTAAATACACTTTTTATTACTTACAATGAATAGTTCTCTAAAACTGGTTTATTTCTTGTTAACAAAATGAGACAATACGAGAATTTAATCATATAGACAATTCTGAATATGTTCTTATTCCTGTTTTTAAATCCTGATTGTTGTATTACTATCTGATACATATTCTTTCTATCATAAATGGATCTTAACTCAACATTTCGCCAAGTTCTTAGTTTCCTTCGCTAATCATGTTTTTTTCCTTGAAGTTTAGGTTCGAATCCACGGTATACTTTATAACATTGTTATTCCTACCAGAGTGTTCTCTAGTTATATTTTCAGAACTTTTGTGGAATATATTATTAACTGTCATCCTATTTCATCACAGTGGATGCTATTATCGAGTGGATAAGCGATACCGTCTTACAATTTACATTTTATGTCATTGTAATACTGTCAAAGCTGGCAAAATGCGATTTTTTTTATCATAAATGCATACTAGTTTTTAATGTGCGTAATTCATAGGTATTTTGTAATAATTATCTCAAAGTATTCAATATGAGAATCAAACCCCAGTTACTCTTCTGTATCAAACAAATAACAGTTGTATGCTTAAATAAATAAATCTGAAAAGTCGGTTTTCCGTCCCTTAACAGAACATAATTTTGAAAATATGTTTTAAAGTGATAAATCTTCTGAGTAAACTTTTGAATAGATTCCACAAGCTCTTCTGATAACCTCGGACTAACTTTACACGACAACTTGAACACGAGATAGAAGACGCGAAATTTGGAAATAACGCTCTACTTCAAGCTTACTCGATGCACATCAAATCTAGGGTATTTATTGCATTTCAGACGACCTTGGGCTTTTGGAAGGATCTGGAACCCTTTTAAAGACGGCAACAGGATAGGAAATTACTCAACCAGAAGTGTGGCACGTGACTTCATTTTCATTTAGAATAGTTGTTGTAAAATCCGTGAAGATCTTTAACTGAGTATTCGTTTAATCATCCTGGAGAGTGTTTTTAAAAATGTAAAAGTGATTTTCTAGGAAATTGATTAATGAAAATTGTTGTACAGATTGAATTGAGCTAATAAATCTAAAGGGAAATATCATGTGTAGGTAATTCGTTTTTAGCTTACAATACTGTTATATCCGAGCGAAGATTAAATCACGAGTAACTTCTGAGACATATTAATTTACTAATATTATATATACATTCTTATGGTATAATTATTCAATAATTAGATTATGTATATTTATATTCCTCTTATTATAAGCCTTATTTTGACCTGTAATTTATTATTATACGATTTACTGTTCTTAAGCTATGTTCAGTTTATTGACTACTGCCTCCCAACGTCCACAGCCACTTTTTGGCTTCATTGTGTACAAATATTATTTCCTATTTTATGGTGCGTTGCGATGTTTGATTGATATATGAATCCAGTATGTCTGAAATACATGATTCGATTCAATTCGCATAGTGGAAGCTGGTATTGGTGTTCTGGACTCAATTGGACGGGTTAGGCGGACATAGGGCTCATAAGGACGCCAGGCTGCTCATACCGGTCAAACGTCATTGGTTTGGCACAGTCGGAAATTGCATAAGTCGTATTTGGATTGGTGGATAAATCACGTGATAAAAAGCCGGACATAAAGCGGCAACAAATATCATTACTAAACCAGTTGAAACTTAGTTATATCCTTTCCAGACTGAATGTTTCTTTTTAAACTGTGCTGTGTAATCACTAAATTAACATTTCTTTCAGTTTGTCATTTATAGTGTTATCATATAAATAGCTACTTCTTGTATACCATGTAGGTATTTTTTGTCTAGTTTTGCTTTAGTGATTTCTTTTCAATCTCCTGAAATATCAATTTTCTCGCGCGCTCTAGGAAATTTCGCAGAGTTCGATTTTTCTTCATGAATATCGAGAGTTTATTATACGGGCATCAGACTGTAAATAGGAGTTCTCTCTAGATTTGTTTAAATTTGGGATAACGTGTGAATTGGTTTATTTAAATATTTTTCTTTTTCGAGATCCTTTTCATTGATCTGTTTGCCCGTTTTATAAGTAGAACGACGAAAAACTCTTTGAATTGTTATGTTCTTTGTCATATATTGGTAGTTTTTAAACAAGCTATTAATTGAAAAGACAAACTTTGTGAGATACATTAGAACGGTGAATATATATGTAGTTTAATAATGTAGAAACGATCAAATATTATCTATTAGACAACCAGTAAATCGTTTTCTTTATTCAATTAGTCAGTAAATATTTAATGGGTCTTGATACCTGCTTATTATTGAAATGAACAACTGACCACTATCATAATTATTACCGTCATTTTTACAACTAAAAATTGTATATATCTTATCTTACAGAAGAAAAATACTGTAAGATAAAAAACTGGTTTATTTTCTCCATCATTTACTTGTGGAACATTTGAAATAGAATATTTCGTGTTTATACAAGGGCATTGAGTCTGTATTATAATAGCTTAAACTATGTAATAAATTTCCAATCGCTCAAAAGATATGAATCTACATTGTTGATAATCAGAGAGGGGTTTTATGGAGATTGTAGCAGTTTAATAATTGAATTCATGAGTGAATTGAAGTTAGACTACCATTGAAAACCTGAAAGCACTAGACGGCTGTTTCATCCTAGTATGGGAATCCTCAACAGTGCGTACCCACGATGCCACCCGCGAGATTCGCGTTCGCTCGCGAGACTGATAGATCTTGGGTTCGAATCTCGTGAGGTGGGATCGTGGGTGCACTCTGTTGAGGAGTCTCACTCTAGGATGAAACGGCCATCCAGTGTTTCCATGGTGGTCTATCTTCGATTGACTCATGAATTCAATTATTAAATTACATTGTTGGACTTAAAAAATGATTAATTACAGATATAATTACATTTCCATTTGTAAGCATCAGTAAAACACAATCAGTATAAGCATACTGTGTATACAATGCATATAGCAATTTGTTGATAATACAAAACAAAAATATTCTAAATATCAAATTACTTGTAAATATTTGTAATTTCATGTTTCAATTTCTAGAACTTAATTGCTTTGATTATGAAGCTTTCAATTTTTCAAAAGTAAATTCTTCTACACAAATTTGTTAATTTATAATCAGTGAATATATTTAATTATTATTGAGTTCGAGTCTTAGAGTGTACATCAACTCTGAGATGCAGGTACACCCAGTTGACGAGTCCCAACTAGGACGAAACGCTCATCCTGGATTCCACTGCTAGCCACTATCCATCTTTGTTTAAAAAACTTTTTTGTTTGAATAAATTTTAATTCTAGAGTTAAAAAAGATATTGAATTTGTAAGATTTAGAGTGAAGTTAATTGTCATTTGTTCGTTCATATAGTGAGGGTAATTGTTTATCGATTCTCCAGTGTTTGCTTAGATATTTTATCCACTTCTGAAATTTGTCTTCAAATTATTCAATATTTCTGAAATAAACAAGGAAAAAAAGAAAAGTAAATCACTTAGATACATTTTTAAAGGTAGTTTTGTACAAATTCAAGGTGATTTTTTCATGAAACTACATTAGTTAAAGTACTGTTTCATCCTGATTAAGAATTATTTAAGGATTTATACTTGAGACTATCGAATACATGACTTTTAAATCATTAATAAACTAGTTTTGAATTGTCTTGTGGTTGCTGCTCACGACTGTATTTTAATCAATCTTTATTGTCATATATGCAGACTGCCTCTTTATACTCAATATAGGATAACTCAATTTCATACTCATCAGGATATTACGAAAGTATTCATTGAACACATTGGTAGCTTCATGGACCTAGTAGATAGGGCGATAACGTGTTGAACGTTTGAAGTGTGTGGCACTGAATTCGAGTCTTAGTATGAATTGTAGTACTTAGATCCAGGTAAATCCAAATGAAAATTCCAAAAAAACGTATCAAGTCTCATATTTCACTGAGATCCACAATGCATGTGTTCAACATGGCCAGTTCTAGCGATGATTATGATATAGTTGACTCATCAGTTTAAAAGCCAGTCAAATCCTATAAATAACCAAAAAATCTCCCACTTAGTTAACTTCATTGGTGATATTATTGCCTTAAGCTATTTTGTGTGTGTAAATGAGTAGTAAATAGTGTACATGACTAAATATAGGCCACTAACACGTTATAAATCATTCGCTTATTGTCTTTTCCACTGATGAATATCAGTATAGAAATTTCCAGTTGTTAATTAAAAAAAGAGTTAAATAGAGCGGCAACAGTGAAATAAGAATTACAATTCCTTAAACTCACTGAACTAATAAGCAAATAATTGACAATGAGAGAAGGTCACTTTTCATGAAATTTGATATGTTCTAGGTTATTATCGTTGTGCAATTATATCCATTCACATTTACATCTTTTATCATATATATATAGTCTCATAGAAATTTGAGAAATATAATGAGTATGTAAGTTAAAATAACGTATGTAATGTTTTATCCAATGAAATTAAGGGTTAACCATATACCTATAAGAAATCTGATATCCTAACTAATTCCTACTGCATACGCTATAAAAGTAGGTTATATCAGCTCAGAATAAAGTGTTCAATATTTTATCAGTTATATGAAGATCAGAAACTTCTCCAAAGTCTTACACTAAAGCATAATTGTTGTAAACGTTACTATTTATATTTGAAACATTCACCACGCTACATCATCAGTGGTTGACAATCTTTTACAAAAAGGACAATGAGTTCAACTACTGATGACAAAAATAATCTTACTGAAAATAATGAAAATCCTATCAATGAGTGTAGTTCACCAACCACTTCTTTATCTCACAACTCTCTTATCAATTCATCATTCTCACCATCGCCTTCATGTATTACAGATTTATGCACTTGGTGTCAGAAACCAAATCTTCAAACTTATAAATATAATTCATTTTATCAATCTGTTAATTTAGATAATACTAAATATAAAATAAAACCTGTACCAGTTTGTTGTTCACAAATATGTTTTGATAATTTACGTCGTGCTTATTTCAAAAATCGTCGCAATCAATTAAACAGTCAATTATTAGATGAAATACTTGCTATGGTAATTTCTGGCCGATTACCATATACATCAGATTCGGATAAAGAAAAACTCGATAATAAAAGACAATCAACTTTATCCTATCAATCAAATACTAGTTGCAACCCACCAGTTACTATTACTAATATTACTACTAATAATAAATTATCATCAAAGAAACGATTCCATAATCAATATTCTGATCAACAGCATCATTCATTACAAGATACTGTTCATAAATCTTCTGTAAATAATTCTCAAAGGTCAAATTATGATTTCTTTTCACATATACAAATGTATTCACAATTGAACAACTACATAAATAAAGATAATACTAAAATGTCTATTCCATTATATGATTATATTATACAACGTTTTGATATGAATCAATTCATAAATAATTCTAGAAATATCATTAATATAGATCATATTCCTAGTACAACTATAACCAATACAAATACTACTATTATTACCAATACTAATCATGATATAAACACAAATCCTAAAATTATTACTAATTTAAATAATGAATTAATCAATTCAAATCTGGAACCTAATAATCAATTAATTGATCGTCATATAGAAATCATGAATATAATAAATCAATTATTAATGTCTTCAATTAATCACAATAATAATAATGATCATAATCATATAATTACTACTACTAATAATAATAATATAAATAGTTTAGATCAATTATTAATTATTCCAATACCTATACCAATATTTAAAATGACACCAAATATATTAAATATTTTACATCAATATGGTTATCATTCAATAAATTCATGTAAATATTATTCTAATAAACAATTTAATCTCGATGAAACAAATCAAACAACAAATTTACATAAATTTATAATGAATAATAATAATAATAATATAAGTAGTATAAATAACTTAATTGAAAATAATTATAAACAAACAAATGAAATCAATAAAACACAATTTATTGATTATTTAAATAAAACTAATGAAAAAGCATTAGATTTAAGTTTATCAAATAAAAAAATAACTTCTTATTACAATAAGAATAAATTAAAACAAAGAACATTTTATCATAAATATCAACAACAAAATAAACGTTATTTGAATAAGAAATTATTAAAACAAACATTATTATCTGGTATATATAAATTAATTAATCCTATAACAAAACATTGTTATACAGTTAAAATTATACCAATTAAGTGATAGTCATTATATAACAATAATAAAACTACTTTTTAATAATTAATATGTAGATAAATCGGATGCATTTCAAGTGATCTATTGTATATCTCTATCATTTTCTAATGGAGTTCGTCCCCGTCTTCTACATATAGCTGAAGCCATAGGAATTCCTATTTAACATCAATTTATGTGTACAAGAGAAATTCGTAACCCTCCCCCTCTATCCATTCTGTGGATAATTACAACTTAACAAATGACGCTTTATTTCCTTTTTATTTTTGTTATTATTAGCCTCATTTTCACATCCAGCATTTGTTTGTAACTTTTCGCCTCTTTCCGTTTGTATTCTTCACTATCTAATTATTTACTCACTTCTTATTGCGTAATGGTTTTAATGTTTTGTGATGATTATTTTAAGTCTATTTACCCACGTTTGACCTTCTATTTCCAATGCTTAACTATTGTTATCGTATTTTATCATTCTTATTACTATCAGTACACCTGTCTTCCTACTATCAACTTGTACTTTTACCTGTTATGTATGGTGACTTATTCTATTTCATTGTGATTATTGACCTAAATCGCCTTGATTGGTTTAACATTTTCGTGTAAATATTCATGAATATTAGAATAAAGCCTGATGACGATCTAATTGAAAACAGTTGTTCGCTTATATGTGTTGTTCTAATTTTCACAATGGGAATCTTTAATATGTAAATATTTGTATATTTTGAAATTAAAATAAAAGGAACTAATGGACGGTAGCCGAATGTTTATTTAAGGTTTAATATGAACATAATTAAAACTTTCATGAATCGTTTGAATGTGAATTAGTTGTTCTCAATTTTTTTTCTTTTTTTTAAAAAAGTATCTTGTTCCGCTTAATTATATATATATATATATATATATATATATATATATATATATAAAATATATATATATATATATATATATATATATATATATATATATATATTGAATCCGTTGAATCAGCAGGCTTTTTCAATGATTTTACATCGGATGTTATTCTGTAAAGAAAATGCCTTTTTTGAAAAGAAAGTGTTTTTAATAATTAAAGACAGATAGTGGCTAGTAGTGGAATGTAGTTTGCTGCGCGTTTCGTCCTAATTGGGATTCGTCAGCTGGATATATCTGCATCTCAGAGTTCATTCATTCACTCTGGGATTTGAGCCCAGTACCGTTCGTTTCGAATGATATCACGTTATCCACTGAGCTATGAAGTCCTGAAAGCTACCTGATTGTGCAATAGAGTGAAGTTTTCACTTCACTTGGTGTTGTTTGATTTTATCTTCCCACTGATATTTAGGACTGCAATTGATCAGTCTGTTGTTGGTATATATGCATCCTGTGATGACTGCCCTACGTCACAAGCTTTATGAGCAAAGATGGATAGCGGCTAGCAGTGCAATCCAGGACTTTACTTTGCATAAACATGAAGTTTATGAATTATACAGATTATAATCATTTGAATTGAAGTAGTAAATGAATTGTTTACCATAAGTTACCGGCCATATATTTCGTTTCATTTAACTCAGAGATTAATTTATGGCATTTCGCCTATGTTGTCCTTTATTATGCATATCACTATCTTAACGCAGCTATAATTTGTAATCTCATCAAAGTATCCACATACTATTGATCTAGTTGAAAATAAGCTACTTATCAATCATAACAGTTTCTTTATGTAAACATTGGAAGAATTAATTGAGTTATAAGAGTAATGTTAAAGTGAGTGTTATTGTTTTAGTTATAAAAATTGGAATCAACGTTCGGTTAAACATTTGGATTATTGATATACTGTTTTAAAAATACTTTCTCTTATATTTACTGATGAGGATTCTTTGTATAGGCTAGGCGTATAGATATTCCTTGTCAGACAATGCTATTCATAGTAGTAATAAAAACTATGATGGATGAATAAAGTCGAGAACAAGCCTACATTAAACACTCATTCAGTGGTTGATCTGCAAATACATCAGAAGCAATCGTAATTAGTAAGTTTGCGATTCCATAATAAAACTAAGTTACGTAATACAAATGAAATTTATTATAAAACAAAAAACATATGTAATTTAGTTGTCGTTTTGCTGGAAACCTAAATACAGTCATATTCAAGTAACCTGAACAAGGTAGATGGGCTGCAATCAACTGCAGTTTATTAATTACATTAATTTTTCCTCTTCTATGGTGAACGAAAAGAATTATCATCCACAAAGTTGTTTTCCGTCTTTTCTCTTTTCGACAAATTTATTGAAGAACTTAAAATGATAGAGAAGATGTTAAAAATATTTACAATGAGTATTAATTCATAAATTCCTCCGAATGAACCTACTCATTCAAACAAAATATTTAATGAATTAAGATATCATGTATTTTATTTAAAGTACTTACTTACTCACGCCTGTTACTCCCGACCACAATTCTCCAACCCATTCTGCCATTGGCCTTTCTTTCTAGGTCTATCAAATTGTTGCTCATTCTTTTTTGTCTCCGTAAACCTTAAGTAAATAATTTTAAATATGGAGAAATTTAAAAGTTGTTTTACTGTAACAAAATGTAAATGAAATTAAAAATTAAAATGGTTTTTCGAAAATAATTTGATCGATTGATCTTCCTCATTTTGTTCAATATTCCATTTAAAATAACCCATAGTGTCATTGAATAAAAATGAAGAGAATTCAGTGAAGAAAATTTTCTTTTCGACGAAATCATTTACTTAAGCTGTACATTCGTATTTATAGTTATCTGGAAAATATATGTCTATAGGAGGATAGAAAAGATTGCATCATAAATTGATTCGAGACTCTTATTATCAAATGAGGTTACGCAATAATTAAGGGATAAGGAAGGAATATGAGGTTAAAAATAATCTACGGATCAGATAATTATCAAATTGACGGATATGAAAGGAGAATTTAAAACAATCACTAATCCTAAACAGGCGCATTTAATCAATTGTGGACCCATAGCTCCAAAGGATTTTTCCTTTAAAGTTATCTACACAGTCAAAAGAATTAAATCAAAGGTATGTCGAATCAATATTTTATGTACTGCTAGGGCATTGGCAATCCACGAACTCAAGCCCGAACTTTTCGTGGAGAAACAATCCATCCAACCTCTCATCCTTTCTTGACCCTAATTCCCTTTATTGGTATGTTTCGGGTCTTTTCCCTTTTTTCTTCATTTTTATTTGATTATTATTGACTTTTTTGAATTATTGTATTGCGATTTTAAACTCTAATCAGTTACTGTTATCACCTTTAAGCAAGTTTGCTTGATTATTATTCAATTTATATTATTCTGACATTTATGTTTGTCGTTTTTCTTCGTATCTGTCAATTGGATAATTATCTAACCCGTAGATTATTTTCATCCTTACCCCTTGATTATTGCGTAACCTCATTTGATAATAAGAGTCTCGAGTCAGTTTATGATGTAATCTTTTCTATCCTCCTATAGACGTATATTTTATACATCTAACTATATATAGGAATTTATACGAATATTCGTCAAAATTAGAACGAACAGTTATTGAGCGCCGAGTATAGAGAAGTCATTGTATGTGAAAATTATATTTGAAATATTCTCAGCGATTGAAATTTAACTAATTCCAACGTTTCGTTCAGCTAACTTATCTGGACGTCTTCCGGGTAATAATCAAAATCAAAATATATACGAATGTACAGCGTAAGTAAATGATTTCGTCGAAAAGAAAATTTTTTCACTGAATTCTCTTTTTCTTATTCAATATTCCGTTTGTTCACAAAACTTAACATTATGTAAAATTATTAGAAAGAGGTTAAAAAATTTAATTATTATTCTTCACATAAATTTGTATTTTGTCTTTGGTAATATAAAAGAATAAATATTGTAAATCTCCTTTGATATACAAACTCCTAAAGTGGATTTCTCGATGTTACCATCAGCCAAACAATACCAAGTGAATTTAAATTCACCCCATTGCACAAGCATGTGGCTATCGAGACTCAGTAGCTGAGTGGATAACGCGATGGCATTTGAAGCGAATGGTACTGGGTTCGAATCCCAGAGTGAACATCAACTCTGAAGTGCAGGTACATCCAGCTGACGCGTCCCAAATAGGACGAAACGCGCGTCCTGGATTCCACTGCTAGCCACTATCCATCATTGCTTACATCAGATATAAGCTTTCAAATATATTATTAATCAGTCACTAGCAGTGAAATTAGTACATGTATCTCAACAACATCTCAAACTTATTGTATGTATGTTATTGTACTATTATTCACAATTTTTCTCTTTCGACATAATAGATACATGAATCAAGTTTTAGTATGAATACTAACAATGAATTGTAAATACATCAAATCGATAGTATAAAAGCTACATTCTTATTGTAATTTTGATTACCAAACTGAAAAATTGGATAGAATAATAAACAAATAAACATTCATACAATGTAGTAATGATTTATTATTGCGGTAGGCGGGATCGTGGGCACGCATTGCTGAGAAGTCCCATACTAGAATGAAACGGCCGTCCAGTGCTTCCAGGTTTTTCAATGGTGGTCTAACTTTAATCGATTCATGATCTCAATCGAAAACTTAACAATCTCCACAACCCTAAACTGATCATTCAATTCTTACTAAATCATAATTTGAACAAAATATAAATCAATTTAATACAATTTAATGAAAACTTTAAATCAACCTTTAAAATATTGAAAAATATCATCGATTTAAAAAAAAGAAAGAAAGGAAACAAAAGAAAAAAGAAATTAAACAAATTTCAATTGGAAGTGATAATATTGTTTAAATGATACATTTCGATAATGCAATCAGAAGACAAAGTTGATCAGAACTATATGGTAGATTAGCGCAATACATTTCGAACAATCTAATCACACGTAATATACTTGTTAAGAACATTTATATATATGAAAAATTAAAAAGTCAACTAGGCAGGTTAAAGGTAAGCCATAACAAAGAAAATAATAAAGTATAGAAAAACAATCTTGTAGCCACTCTGGATAATAAGTCAGTATCATATATCACATAGATATATGTATATATATACATCACATAACTATGATAAACTTTGTCTTCTTATTGAATTACCGAAATGTTTTCAAAGGGATTAATTGTTTTAAATAATAAATACTTTGTACAAATAATGATTTTTACATTTGATATTCCTCTTTTTTTTCTTTCAAAAAAATAACATTTCTATAAAAAGTTTATTTTAGATGAGAGAAAATAACAAACAAAACAAAGCAAGACAACAACAGCAACAACAAAGAAACAAACAAACAAAAGATCAATTTCAAGTTTTTTTTATGGAGAACGTATAATATCATAAACTTGTTGATGAATATTAGAAATTCGATTATCATTATTATTATTATTGTTGTTTGATAGAATTAATCTATTTAATAATGAATTATCAATTCTATTTTCATTGAAATGATTAACATATTTTTTCAAATTAACATTTGAATTAGATTGTATTTGTTGTAATAAAGAAATAATAAATTCACGTAGTTTAGTTAAACTCTGAAAACAAAAGAGAAATAAACTACATAATAATGAATAAAATCTATAAAATATATGTAATTGATAAATTCATTCGGTATTGTTTACTTGAATCTTTTCAATGATGGTTAGGACTGTAATCGATCAGTCTCTTATTGGTATATGTTCATACTGTGCATATTGCTTCGATATTGCCTTAATTCATAAGTATTATAAGCAAAGACAGATAGTGACTAGTAGTCGAACCTAAGATGGGCGTTTTGTCATAGTTGGGACTTGCCAGCTGGATGTACCTGCATTTTAGGATTAATGTTCATTCTGGGACTCGAACCTGGTGCCGTTCGCTTCAAACGTCATCGCGTCATCCACTTAACGAGTCCTAAATAAGACAAAACGTGCGTTCTAGACTATACTACTAGTGACTATCCATCTTTGCTTATATCACTGATAATTTACAATTTCTTTTTTCAAAACTAATCATGAAAGATTGATGCTTTACGCTAAATTTAGGCATTCAGTTTATTCATATTTAATTAATCGCCTGGATTGAAATATACTACTAATAACTTGTATGAATAATTTTTATTAGTATTGTGATGTATGCTACTGATGTCGACAGATATAAGTCGTATCATCAATCGAAAGAGAAATGCCTGGCGGTAGAAGGTCAAGAAGATCGAATATAAGATAATGAGAACAGATAATGATTGGTGTGGGGACGAAAGGACGATGAAGTCTGAGACGATTGATTGATATTTTGCAAATGACTTATTTATTGAATGGTTCTCAGATTTTACTAAGACGTTCTGTAATTTTTTAAAATCAAATATATTCGATTTTCCCCACTTGTGTTCACGTTCGCTACAATATAACCGACATCTGTCTGAAACCAATTAGTTATAGATATTTTAGGTGTTCTATTATAAAATCTCCAGTTCACCTTAATGAACTGATTTTAGCTAATTAATAATCATTAAAAGTCAGTTAGTAATAAAAATTATAAGCTGGGATATCTGTACTAAGTACAAAAATTTACTTAAATTTACTTTCGCTTACATACTGTCATGATAAAATGCTATATAACTGTATATCCATACCCATAAAAGGGAAAACATAAGTATTAAAGTTTTTTTTAATTACAATTATTATATTTTACGCTTTTGTATGTGATAATCAGCATGTTTCGTAAAATATTTAGGTAAGTGAGCAATAAACGTAAATATTAAGATTGTTTGTTTTGGATATTTATCATAATCAAATGTTTGGGAGGTTTTCAAAGATCATGTTTTTAAAAAACTAACAACTCATATCCACATTTCTTACGGTTAGAAACAATATCACCAAATTAATGGATTTTCGATCATTTTACTTATGACTAATATTAAGTAAACATTATCAATGGAACAAGGTAAGGATTGGAAACTAGATATTTATAGACACCAGTTAATATACTCATAATATTAATAGTATAAACCTACAGAATATTTGTAATGGTTCAGACAATACAAGAAGTATGACTTCAAATGTGACACTACGAGGTAAATTGCTTCACATGAGAAGTCGAATTAATAGATATTGGCGAGTGTTCTAGGAATTTATATTTTCGGGCTCGCGAGCATCTCCTAGTATGTTAAAGCAAAGGTATAGTTAAAACTCTTAATAGATCGATTTCATCTCAGCCATACAGCTAACACGGAGCAATCACTCACCATAATATATTATGTAAACAGCAATCTGCCTAAATCTGTCAGACCAAGAATCCTTCAGACGGCTGAAGTGAACTGGGGCTTTGTGTCCTGAAGAAGAATGTTCAACCTCTCCTTTTACTTTGGCCAACTGCTGGCCTAATTAGTTAGTAATCATTTTTATGATGTGATGACATAATTCGAATAATGTTCATTTTCATAGCTTAAACTTATTGATACATATTATTATAATTACACTCCCAAACGTTTTTGAGAAATTTACTCAGAATTCACCCTTATTTACTAATTCGTATTCAATTCATATTATTGTACATATTATGTGATGTCTGATTTGTAACTACATTATCTCTCTCCACTCATGTTAACCATATTTATTCTGATTATTTATCTCAGATTTTCATTGAACGTATGAACTTATTGAAGTCAGCACTTCATATTAGTCACCTCAACATTATTTTATTTTGCAGTCCTAAATTCACAAGCTATAATTTTAAGCAATGTATTTTGCCCTAAACCTGACCACTTTTTGGATCATTAATTTGGATACATATGTATAAGTAAACTAACCTGTCTCCTTGTTAAAAGACGTTCTAAATCTTCACAAAGTAAATTACGTTCGGATGCTAATTTATCCCTTTCTTCTTTGTACAGTAATGATTTTCTTTCAATATCTGCTAACTGACTGCATAATGAGTGACTAGGCACGTAATATCGATTTGCAACCTTATCATGACCTAGATGATCTGTAAAGAAATAGTTATAATATGTGCTACAAAAAGACCATTAGTTCACAACAGAGCTAAAAAAGATACATAATCCTATGGTGAAAAAGTCATAAAATTGTGTTAGGGAAATGAATTAACAGATTGAAATTGAATGTAATATTATTTTTTGAAAACGTTAGATTTCAACGAAATCCATCTTAACAGAATGTGAAAATACATCCATTTTGGTTCATATAAATAGCTGTAATTGAGTTTAGTTAGCCTTCGGCACTTTTATAACCTAACGATTTGTAATTAAAGAACATGTGTACGTTACCAATGTTTGATAATTGATTTCTTCAATCTGTTGCTTGCTTACGATGAAACAACTGAGTGATCAATGTCTGATGAACTTAAGTAATACGAATTAAAATCGATTGTATCCTAGCAGACGTCAAAAGGGTTAATAGTAACAGGAAACAACTGGAAGAGATTGTCTAGAACAGAGTTCGATGGAGAATCCCTGCAGGCAGCCTATGCTTCTCCACGAGGGCTAACATGCGTAAGTAAGTAAGCAAGTATTTCGGTCATTTGGTGCAGTGACATGGAATAAAGCACATTTGTGATAGGTTCTAAGTTGAATATGACTGATGAGACTATTGACAATGAAATGAAAGTAAACAAACACTTTGCTGATATTACTTAATTTCAGCATAAAAATTGGATCACACATATCTTTCACAAGAACTTTTTTTTGTAATTCTATACTGATTAGTGCAACAATTTGTATTCATTTAATAATAAATATCTAATGTTTATTTATGAATAAATAAACCAAACAATATTGAATCAGTTCAAGTTACCATATACTTTGAAAAAAGAAAATCAATAATCACAATAACCGAAAGGTTATTATAATGGACAAAACAACCGAGATTAGAAGAGTTAAATTCATTTAATGCTCACTATCACTGAGCTACAATACTTCGAACTGTGCGTATATTCAAATCATGTTTATTGTTAATTTTATTTAGTATATAATTATCCGTATATGAGTGTGTAGTTCTGCTGAATATAAACAAGTTTGGTTTGCTGGTCACTTAACTTGCTTATCGGTATCCGTTCATTTCAGAACTCAATAGTAATAGTTAGAATTTTATTGAACGATTGCTTTACATCAGTTCAGACGATCAACCAAGCAACCATATCCTCATAATTCTTCTTTAATATTAGAAAGAATGATGTTAAGTTGTGTAAAACGGTTGTTGTATGCTGAACAAATAAGTAATGAGAGAATAAAGGTTTAAAAAAAGGTTAAAACGTAAGTACACTGACTATATGGTAACCAATTTTTAAGTTACGATACTCATATTTACAATTTCTGATTGTGTAACATCTAAAAAATAAATTAACTATAGAAAGATGAGAATATCAGTTTCCTCATTAATTTGCATAAATTATATTGATGATTCATAATGAGAGATTCATGTAAATTGTTTTATTTTTTTCAGATTAAATAGATCAAACAAAATGTAAGAGTTAAAAGTAAATGACTTACTTACTTACTTACGCTTCTTACTCCTCGTGAAGGAGCATAGGCCGCTCACCAGCATTCTCCATCCAACCCTGTCCTGGGCAATCCTTTCTAGCTCCGTCCAGTTGTAATTCATCGTTTTCATATCTGCTTCTATTATCCGACGCAATGTGTTCTTTGGCCTTCCTCTTTTTCGCTTCCCTTCAGGATTCCAAGTTAGGGCTTGCCTCGTGATGCAGTTTGACGATTTGCGTAATGTATGTCCTATCCATTTCCATCGTCTTCTTCTAATTTCTTCTTCAGCTGGAAGTTGGTTTGTTCTCTCCCACAGTAAAAGTAAATGAAGTATCTTGAAATAATTCATATTTTTTCCGTTGAGATCATGAACTAATTTATGTTAGACCACCACTGAAAACCTGGAAGCACTGGATTGCCGTTTCGTTCTATTATGGGACTCCTCAGCAGTGCGCATCCACGATCCCGCCTCGCAGGATTCAAACCCAGGGCATTCAGTCTCGTGCGCAAACGCTTAACCTCTACACTACTAAGCCGATATCCAACGCTGTTAATGTCTAACCTCAACCAATCCACGAAATTGCGCGGTCATCTTCTATTGTACTGAGGTAGATACTTGTCTCTACCCAAAACAGATTAGCTCCACTGGTCACGGCAAATGTATCTTGAATTATCAGCGATCTAAGTACCATATACAATTAACCTATTTGTAGTAGTACACAAAATTACAGAAATAATTCTTCATATTAGACAAACTATTTACAGTTATATTTTGTATATTGGATTTGATAAAAGGGAGACAATTGTATATAATGATCATTAATCGATAGGTCACTTTATTGTTTTGTTTTTTATTCTCAAACTCTTTCTCATAGCCTATTCTAGTTTTATTAAATTATAACAGTTTTGTTTAGTTTTAAACAATTTAAAACATTAACATTGTTATTTAAATAAACAACTAAATGATCAATATTAACATTATATATTTCATCAGGATTCCTATTTTAATTATCACAATGCTTAGCAGTATTACAACTCCGCCTGTAGAGATTTTAGGGCTACTACCGATACTGTACTCGCTTACGAAGAAAATATTCCGCACACTCAGGAAGTTGTTCTGATGCTGTCCAAACAAACAGGAAATGCACTTAAAGGATGACAGTTTCATGGATCCAGAACCACCAAAGCATTTTTAAAATCAAAGAAGAATGGAGTCACAATGAATGTTATCTAGTGCTACGCACCCACCGATGATAATAATGAACATGATAAGGACCAGCTTTACGAGAGGCTGAAATTGATTATGAGGAACTAGCCAGGAAACAACCTGATAATCCTGATGGGAGACCTAAACGACAAAGTCGGACTGAACAACACTTGATATGAAAATATCATGAAACGACATGGACTAACTGAGAGAAAGGAACGAGAATGGTGACAGATTTGCAAATCTATGTGCATTCAAAAAATGGTTATGGGTGGCACTATTTCCCACATCGGCAGAAATGTATACACAAAGCTACATGGGTCTCACTGGACCATAATACACATAACCAGATCGATCATATTTGCATCAGTAAAAAATACAGAAAGTCATCTGAAGACGTGAGAACCACGAGAGGAGCTGATATAGCTTCATGTCACCACCCGGTAGTTGAAAAGATGAGACTAAAAATAAAAAACACTGGACAACTGGAGAAACAGCATTAAAAAGGTTCAATATAACCTCCCTTCCAAATACTGACACACCCAACCAATTCAAGATAGTTCTGAACAACAGGTTCTAAGCATTTTAGGTTCTACTGAAAGAAGAAGAAACTAGTATAGAAGACAACTAGGAAGGGATCGAGGAATCACTAACTACAACGTGCCAGGAGGTTCTGCGACTCAACAAGCATAGTCACTAGGAATGGATTTTTATCGAGATAGAAAGAACGAGAAGACAGCAATTAACGGTGATCGAATAAGTGCAGAGAAAGACAAGGCATAAGATGAATACACAAAATCAAACAAGCAAGCGAAAAGGAGCATTAGAAACTACAAGCAGAAGTACGTGGAAGACTTAGGATTGACAGCAATAAAAGCTGCAACAGAAGGAAACATCAAACAACTATATGACAGCGGAGAAAATAGGATGGAAATATAGACAGCCAGAGAGACCAATCAAGGACAAAGAAGATAAGCTTAATAACTGAAATTCAACAACAGCAGAACAGATGGGTGAAAAACTTTGAAGAGCTCTTGAATAAGCCCACCATTGAATCCACCGGGCATCGAAGCAACACACAAAGACCTGTCTAAAGATATCACTTCACCGACGATCGAAGAACTCAACATCGACATCAGACAATTCAAGCGTGGTAAAGCAACAGGACCTGACAATTTAACAGCCAAAACACTCAAGTTGTTTTATGAACTTCGCCTTATTTATGAAAGATCATGAAATTTATCATAAAAACAGACTCATTTAACATGTCCGTAACATTTGTTTCATCACAATCTATCAGAAATGAATTCATTTGACAGAATGCAATAGATATTAAAAACAGATAGGTTGGTATCAAATATCAGAAAGGTTTCAAATTCCTAATGTAAGGTACATACGGTGATCAGAAAGGTAAACGATTACCTCTATACATATAAAAGGTTTTTTTTTCTTTAGTGATGTTTAATGAAAGAATAGGGAAATTGAGATGAAAAAGATCAAGTTACTCTAATTTAGAATATTCGTTAAGCATATTCTGATGAAAATACATACACACTTACTATAGAGTCATATAAAACAAATATAAACAGACTACAAGAAAGACAAATTGAACCATCTTTACGCACACATATAAACAAACAAAGCAATCTATTTAGAAGTAAACGGTGAATAGGAAAATGTTAACAGTTAGTTGTTCCAGTCGGCTTTAATCATAAAACTAATAAATGATGAAATAAACAATAAGATGCATAATCAAATAATGAGACTTCGTTACAACATAGTAGACTTAAGGTAAATCAGAAGACGAACAATCATTAGGATTACACAAATGTTTAGAAAATAGGATTTTCGGTATTCAGAGAGATAAGTTGACCTCCAGATCACTGAATTGGAATCTAACAGTCGACGTTTGCAATTCCAATTAGCGATGTTAGGCGACTATTATCTATCGTTATATGTGATAACTGTCTCACTGTAGATATGATTGAACTTAACTAGTCAGGGCTTCTGTTTAACATATCAAGGTGACAATCACCACACACCTTCCTTCGTATTAAGCTAAAGAAGCCCTGAAACTAAAATTGTTGTTTTGTTTCTGAGCAGGATCATAGTCTCTAAACAGATCAACGTCGTATCGAAAAATCATGGAGAAAATTCAACTTCTATTGATGATCAGGTTTATTTATCAATTACGCACACTAATTAGATTATTGGTTAACAGGCGATGTTGATTCAGAATCTACTGATCAAGTAATTCATTCTCATCACTGAAGTCAATGATAATTATATCACTTATGGATTATCTACCGTTTATCTTATTTATGCGAGACATTGAAATATTGTTGGATTATTTGTAAAAGTAATTACATTTCCTAAAACATTATTTGAAATATACATAACATTGACTATTTTCTTTCCATAGCTTCGATTAAACGACTAACCACTCTAGGTACTTCAATAACCAGGTTGAAGTTCATCAAAAATGAGCATTTCATTGGCAGACTACCGTTGTTAGCTTACGTATTTATATTCTTTTCTAATGAGTATAGAAGGGTTTGTGACAAGCCCATTTGGCTACTTTATCATTTATCTAGTCATTGTAACTCAGACTCAATTCACTATGTTAATTTCGGTGTGTATGATCGAATGCATGTCTGTACATTAACTCTTAAGCTACCTTCCTATTGGTTTCAATGTGCAGATAATCGATAATTTATCCACACCCGATTAACTCTCAAATATATATGGATTTTTACCAGACTCTCACACTCTCTCTGTTTCATCGTGCGCTTGCTCACCGAACGCTTGTGGATTATTATTATTCATTATCAATAAACTATCTCTATAACTGGTGTTCAGGCTTTTTAATAATCTCGAGTAAATTCGCAATTCTACTAGGAGATTAAGCCTACCTAAAATACTCAGTTACGGGATATTATTATTTGGAGTCAGATATTGAGAACATTATCCTCAACAT